TAAACGATGTATATTATTTCACAAATATGGCAATCGAGATGGGAGAATGGGGAATTTGGTTTCTGATCGCCATTCAATATAATACACTAAACTCTATACTATACTACACTATACTCAGTATAGCAGATACTCGTTTGCTGGCTTTGCTGACACATTTTTTTCAGAGATATATAAACAATCTAAATTGGACAGGTTTAATTTATATAATGAATTCATTATAATGAAGGAAATAATAGCAAGTTACAGTTTTTCTCAGTCACTTTAGTGTATTGCTCACAGCACTATTTACATTTGCACAACAGTTAATGCATTTCTCAAAACAGTTAGTACAAACTGCAAAACCTAGTTGATAACCTGCAAAAGCGCATCACTTATTCAAAATGGATAGCTCATTCCTCAGTTGCAAAGTATTCATGTCAATGAAAGTGTCAGTGTCATCAAGATAAAAATTCCTGACACCATTCTTTATGTACAAGATTGCCAAATGGCTTTATCAAGTTTTCATTATGACAGTTTACTGTGTACATTTTTTCCAATGCAAAAAACTCAGATTTTGGTGACACTTCCTAAAATGCTCAAGTCAGCACTAAATTATTTGCACAGCCATTTGAAAACTGCAGTGAAATTAGACATCGCTGAATTTAGTGAGACATCTGAGTACAAGACACTGAATATGTATGTTTCACATTTTGCTGCATTTGCTCTTTGCAATTCTAATTTATTCACAGCTTTGTGCAAAAGAAAAGAATACAGCCTTATTTACAACAAACATAAACTTCCTTTGGGTAGATATGTGCACAACTGTAAACAATATTGCAGTTTATATTGGAACTGAATCTACAACTTGCTTACTGTAGATCTGTAAATCATTCAAGAAATTGTTCAATTTAGAATACATTTTCAGAAAAAAAAGGTTTTTAAAATGTTTATAAATTTTCTTGATGAATTTTGACAAATAGTTCAACTTGTTTGTATGTAATGACTCAAGTAATGAAATGAGGACTGTTAGTTTTATATGGACTATATAAATGGACTTTATATGGACTATTCAGCATTCACAAGTTTAGTTAATTTTGACTGACATGACCTAAGCAAATGACAATGTTTTAAAACAGCAGAGAGTTGTATAAAAACAATTGATGCATGTCCAAAAGCATTTGCAATTAGTTGGAAGGAATGAGAAACTGCTACTATGATGTGCACAAATGACTAATTGTTTTAAGAAATGCGTTAACTGTTGTACAAATATAATACATATTTAAAATGTATGGTTAATATGTAATACAAATCTTTTTACATTTAATAAATGTATAACACTACATTAATATTTTCCTCAAGCGACTGAATAGTATTTATTTGCTTAATTTTCTAATAACTTTTTTATCAATAATTTCCCACATTTTTAAGAAGTAATATATTGTTTTTAAACCATAAAGTACTGGTAATTTGTGGTAATTATAGTTGCAAATTAACTGTTAATAATTTTAACTATATATATATATATATATATATATATATATATATATATATATATATATGCAGTTGAATTCAGAATTATTAGTCCCCCCTTTGGATTTTCTTTTCTTTTTTAAATATTTCCCAAATTATGTTTAACAGAGCAAGGAAATTTTCACAGTATGTCAGATAATGTTTTTTATTCTGGAGAAAGACTTATTTGTTTTACTTTGGCTAGAATAAAAGCAGTTTTTATTTATTTATTTTTTTAATCCATTTTAAGGTCAAAATTATTAGCCCCTTTAAGCTATATATTTTTTCGATAATCTACAGAACAAACCATCGTTAAACAATAACTTGCCTAACTACCCTAACCTGCCTAGTTAACCTAATTACCCTAGTGAAGCCTTTAAATGTCACTTTACGCTTTATAGAAGTGTCTTGAAAAATATCTAGTCAAATATTATTTACTGTCATCATGGAAAAGATTAAAAAAAAAAACTTATCATAAAGATAAAATTATTATGTTTTAGAATGTGTTAAAAAAATCTACTGTCCATTAAACATAAATTAGGGTAAAAATAAACATGGTGGCCAATAATTCAGGGGGCTAATAAATATATATATATATATATATATATATATATATATATATATATATATATATATATATATATATATATATATATATATATATATATTTTTTTTTTTTTTCTAACAGTTGCTAAAGTTTAGTAAAAGATAAAGTACTTTATCAGTTTAAACTATATTCAATTTAAATTATTAACTATATTAATTCATTTTAATGTGACATGTGTATGTGTGTGTGTGCGTGTTTTTTTTTTTAAATTCTTTTTTACATAATTTAATTTTCCAAATCTGCAAAGATGTTAAAATAATTGTTATGATATAATATTGAAATAATGACTGAAATTCTTTACATTCTAATGAATAGCAATCGTAGCACTGACGGTCTCGATCGCCATATTTGTGAAATTATATAAAAATAAAAAAATAGAAGAAGACTGATCGGTCATGTGACTTAATAATTTCTACGTTAGTGTATGCTCCATTCAGCCATTTTCATTTCTGTCAGCTTTCTGAGTAATCTATCTGATTTATTTATATAAGATATGTAATGGAATGTATAATTCTCTATTATAGATCAGCCATTCCACCATGTTTCTCACTGACATACTCGAAAACTCTGAGGCTAAAGACATTTTTTCCCAAAAAATTAAAGAAATAGTTTCCCACTAATAATGACTTGTCATTTCTGTGCATTCAATTTGTAAATATGATTTATCTCATATGACTTGAATGCACCATAATTCCTGATTCTCTTCGACCCCCCTCGCTTTACATTTTGCATGTATCTCTTGGTTGACATGCCTCATTTAGATAGCCAGCTTGTTCAACAAAGGCCAGATCAACAAAGGAACTGTATTCTGATTGACATTTTCCTTACAGAGGGTTTACTGCTCTTTACTTCTTGGCTCATTTCAAAAAGAAAGATTTGTATTACACTGTTTTCAGCTTAGCAGAATGCATTGTGATGTCCATTTCACATGGCACAAACAGAATAAAACAAACCTCTGAAAGGGTAAGAGAAACATACAAAATGTGTATGGGGTGGTGTCATGACCAGATTTAGACACTGCTGCCATTTCTCGTAAATACCAAAACTACAAGCAAACACAAATATGTCCGGATTATGTGAAAATAGAATATTTTCCACAGAAGTGAATATCTAATGTTCTATACCATCAAGTGATGGCTCATAAATTTCCAGAGGTGCTTGTAAGTACACATTTGTTTTGTTAGTTGTGGAAACAGATCAATGCTTGGCACTGCTTGACTAAAAGGGTAAGGTCAGGTCAGCTTCAGAATGGTGGTCTCTCTAATGTGGGTTGGCTTTCGTGTGATATAGATATCCTACAAGAGAGGGCGCTAGTAAGCAGAGCCCACCCATCATGTATCATCACCTGACATGACAGGCTCCCTGCGTTCCACTGAATGATGTACTGAGCTGACACTGAAACTTTCATCAGGTGCTAAAAGGAAAAGTACAAGCTTCTGTGGAATGTGTGTATGTGGAGTTTAAACATTTCTTGAGAATTTAAAAATAAGTGGTAGAGGAAGTAATTAAAGAGTAAAAAAGGATTATTGTGTCAACAATTATTGAGTACGGGGGCTATAAACAGGCTATAAAAATGGAAATAAATTGATATTCATCAGAATTATTTTAGATAAATATGTTAAGAGTTTTTGGTATATACAGACTTTGCCTCAATTTTCTTACTAAATCTGTTCTAAGCTCATCATATAGCTAACACTGACAAATGAAAAAAACAAGTTTATTTTTCTTTATACACATTGACATAACTAAATTAATGAAGTCTTTTAAATCCCATATATATATATATATATATATATATATATATATATATATATATATATATATATATATTTTTTTTTTTTTTTTTTTTTTTTTTTTTACAAATGATATAGAAAAGTTTGTTGTTTAAATTAAAATATTGTCCTTTAAAGTATTGGTGACTTCTCTTTAGCATAAATAACATTATGTTAAATATTTATTTCTCTGTTTTGCTTGAAAAGTACATTTATTTGAAAAACATCAAAGAGAAAAAGTTCATGTTTTTTAAATCCAAATTTAATTCTTCTCATTTTTACAAAAAGTATGCCAATAATACCATAATATTTGGGTGAACTGTCTCTCTAAGACAGTTGAAGTGTTAAAGATGTCTTTCTTTTTGTTAGAGTGTGAAAGATGAAAGATGAGAGTTTAACATCGGCAGAGACCAATTTTGGAAAGCACCAATAAAACTTTCAGAAGCATTCAGGGAATATGTTCAATGTAAACTGGCAAGGAGGCGGAGTGTGGAAAAACTTTAAGTGTGAGGGCATTTGATTGTCCCGAGTCCTCTTGGCTACTGGAGCTCATGTTCACCATCGCTCCTTCTCCATTAATCTCAGTCAGTTACAGGAGGTTCTCAATGCTGATGGAAGGAACTTTTTTTCAACACAGAACAGGATAGCAGCTCCAAACACAGGTCAGACAAATTCTACTACAATTTATTGATTTTCAGAGTTGTTGTCAGCAAGCATTGCATTTATTTTAAGCTGGCTGAACATTTTGCTTTAAAAAAAAAAACTCAATGTAAGATTACATCAATTTATACATTATTAAAATATCAATGTAAAATGTATAGTATACATGTAGATGAATAAATTAGTAGCTAAATAAAAATAGATAGATAGATAGATAGATAGATAGATAGATAGATAGATAGATAGATAGATAGATAGATAGATAGATAGATAGATAGATAGATAGATAGATAGATAGATAGATAGATAGATAGATAGATAGATAGATAGATAGATAGATAGATAGATAGATAGATAGATAGATAGATAGATAGATAGATAGATAGATAGATGTAACCTCCGGTTATTACATTTTTTAGATGCTTCTGTGGTGAGCAAGTGTTTTTTTTTTTTTTTTTCCCAACTGGAAACTGGTCCTGTATGTATTTATCGGCCTAAGCAAAGATTATGTAAGGGTTGAGTGAAAGACATTCTGTGAGAGGTGGACAGTGCTGCTCTGTTGCTGCGGTACAGTCCCACTGCTGATAGGGGTTTTGAGGAGATTTTTTTTTAAAGATGCAGTCTTGAGCCCATCCCAGCTCATCTCAGCCTGATATACATTTCAAAAGTGTGTAAATTAATGGAGTAAATCAATGGGTGAATAAGAAAGAAGTGCATTGCAAGGATAAACTAATGGGAAATTAACTCTGTTTTTTTGTTTGTTTTTAGGAAACAAATCCATTATATCCCAAAGACAAGTCGAATAGCTGGGGAAAATAACTTAATTTAGGCTTTATATTATTAGTATAGATCATTAATTTGTATGAATAAACTGGGCACATCAACCCAGTATAAAATGTTAATCTCATTAGTTTTTCTCATTCTAAATGTGTCTTTTCTTCAAGGCACACTTAGCGAGAATAAAAATGACACTATCAAAACCATAGACCATACCTTTAGTCATCATATTCCCGTACAAGTAACTACACCATTAAGCACAAAAGTAAAAAAACAAACTCATGCTGCTTCTTCAAAAATGAGCAACAGCAATCAGACTCTTCCATTCACTCCGAAGCCTGTTGTAGATGATATCCAGAAATCTGTCCCTCTTTTTCAAGACACACTTAGTGCCAAGGACAATTCTACTTCGGAATCAAGATTGAATGCACATAATGTGCATAAACCCTTAACCAGATTATCAAACACCAAAATCAGAAACCAAACTCAATCTACTTCATCAATAAGTAGCAGCATCAGTCAGACTCTCCCATCCTCTACAGAGCCTGCTGTAGATGGTGTTCAGAAACCTGTGCTTGCTTTAAGAGGCAAACTTAATGAGAAAAAACATTCTACTGTGCAGTCAACAGCACACCTAGGTAGTCTTGACATTCCAAAGCTGGTGACAACAAAGCTAATTAACAAAATGAAAAACCAGACTCGTCCTACTTTGGCAAAACCGAGCAGTGTTAACCAGACTCTTCCATCAGTTAAAAAGATTGTTGCAGATCAAAGTACAATTACTGAGAAAAAAAATTCCACTGCAAATTTACCTACCCAAATTATTTCTGTGCCAAAGACTGACAAGAAAACCAAAAACCATACTCAGTCCACTTTCTCAATAACTAGCAACATCAATCAACATCAAGACATTGTTGAGAAGCATCCACCTTCTTTGCAGGACCCACATAGTCAAAAGAAAAACTCTACGATGAAGTCTCCAACCCAAACTATTAAAGTTGTGACTACTTCATTAAATAGCAAAAAAAAGGACCAAACTCAATCTACTTCCTTGACATATAGCAAAGTGAACCAATCTCTCTCGTCCTCTACAAAGCCTAATATTCATACTAGCCAAAAGCCAATGCAAGGTGTTCAAAACAAAATTAGTGAGAAGACAAATTCTACTAATAAGTCAACAGTCAGTAATGTTAATGTTCAGAAACCAGCTACTAAATTAAACACCAAACTGAAAGTACAAACTCAATATACTTCTTCAACAAAAACACAGGTAAATCAGATTCTCACAACCTCTACAAGACCTGAGGTGGACTCCATACAGAATCCTGTCCAAAGTGTACAAAACACAATTAGTGGAAAGAAAAATTCCACTACTAAGTCAACTGTCAACACTATTAATGTTCAGAAACCAGTAACTTCTTTGTTGAAGACCAAACTAAAAGAACAAACTCAATCCTCTTCTTCAACAAGTCAATTAAATCAGACTCTCACAACCTCTCAAAAGCCTGGGGTGGACTCCATACACAAACCTGTCCAAAGTCTACAAATCACATTTGGTGGCAAGACAAATTCTACCACTAAGTCAATAGTCAACATTGTTGATGTTCAGAAACCAGCTACTAAATTAAACACCAAAATGAAAGTACAAACTCAATCTACGTCTTTAACAACAACACAGGTAAATCTGACTCTCCCATCATCTACAATGCCTGAGGTGGACTCCGTACAAAAACCTGTCCAAAGTGTACAAAACACAATTAGTGGCAAGAAAAATTCTACTACTAAGTCAACAGTTAACACTAGTAATGTTCAGAAACCAGTAACTTCTTTATTGAAGACAAAACTGAAAGAACAAACTCAATCTACTCCTTCAACAAGTCAAGTAAAACAGACTCTCACAACCTCTTCAAAGCCTGAGGTGGACACCACACAGAAACCTGTCCAAAGTGTACAAAACACAATTGGTGACAAGAAAAATTCTACCACTGAGTCTATAGTCAACACTATTAATGTTCAAAATCCAGCTACTAGATTAAACACCAAACTTAAAGACCAAACTCAATCTACTTCTTCAACAACTAGCAAAGTAAATCACACTCTTCCCTCATCTACAATGCCTGATGTGGACACTGTCAAGAAACCTATCCAAAGTCTACAAAACAAAATTGGTGACAAGAAAAATTCTACTACTAAGTCAACAGTCAACACTATTAACATTCAGAAACCAGTAACTTCTTTATTGAAGACCAAACTCAAAGAACAAACTCAATCTACTCCTTCAACAAGTCAAGTAAATCAGACACTTACAACCTCTACAAAGCCTGAGGTGAACTCCATACAGAATCCTGTTCAAAGTGTACAAAACACAGTTAGTGACAAGAATAATTCCACAACTAAGTCAACTGTCAACACTATTAAAGTTCAGAAACCAGTAACTTCTTTATTGAAGACAAAACTTAAAGAAAAAACTCAATCTACTCCCTCAACAAGTCAAGTAAATCAGACCCATACGACTTCCACAAAGCCTGAGGTGGAATCCATACAGAATCCTGTCCAAAGTGTACAAGACACAATTAGTGGCAAGAAAAATTCTACTACTAAATCAACAGTCAACACTATTAACGTTCAGAAACCAGTAACTTCTTTATTGAAGACAAAACTCAAAGAACAAACCCAATCTACTCCTTCAACAAGTCAAGTAAATCAGACTCTTACATCCTCTATAAAGCCTGAGGTGGATTCCATACAGAAACCTGTCCAAAGTGCAAAAAACACAATTGGTGACCAGACAAATTCTACCACTAAGTCAACAGTCAACATTATTAATGTTAAGAAGCCAGTAACTACATTATTGAAAAACAAACAGAAAGAAAGAACTCAATCTATTTCTTCAACAACAAGTCAAGTAAATCAGACTCTCCCAGCCTCTACAAAGTCTGATGTGGACTCCATACAGAAGCCTGTCCAAAGTGTGCAAACCACAATCAATGACAAGAAAAATTCTACTACTAAGTCAACAGACAATCATATTATTGTTCAGAAACCAGTAGGTACATTACTAAAAAACAAAATGAGAATCCAAGCTCTCTCTAATTCTACAAAAAACAGCATTATAGATCAAACTTCTCTTTCTGCTAAGCCTGCTGTAGATGTTGTGCAAAAATCTGTGTCTCCTTCTCCAACTACATTTGGTGAGAAGAGAAACACTACTACCAAGTTAGTGAGCCACAATATTAATGTTAATGCTTCAAAGCCTGAAAACACTAAGGTTCAAACTCAGTCAGTTTCTTCAAAACCTACTCACATTAATCAGACTCTCTTATCCACACCAAAGCCTGCTGTAGATGTTAAGACACCTGGGTCTGCTCTACAAGACATATCTGGTACAAAGAAAAATTCCACATCCAAGTTAACAGCTCAAACTATTAGGAATAATGTTCCAACACTAACTACATTGTTAAATATTAAACTGAAAAACCAGACTCATCCTTCTTTTTCAACGATAAGCCATGTCAATCAGACTGTCCCATTCAGCACAAAATTTGTGGATGAAGTCACACATAGAATGAAGAAAAATTCTACTGTCAAGGCAAGGTTACAAACAATTAATATCAATGCATCAAAGCCAGTAACTACATCATTACACACTAAAACGAAAAACCAAACTCAATCAACATCATTAAAAATAAGCAAAGCCAATCAGACATCCCCATCTACCACTAAGCCTGTTGAGGGTGAAATCAGCCTTGGCAAGAAAAAAAATTTTACTGTCAAGTCAGCTTCTCAATCTATTGATGTTCATGCATCAAAGCCAATAACTACACCACCAAACACCAAAACGAAAAACCAAACTAAGCCTAGTTCATCAAAAAATAACAACAATGATCAAGCTGTCACATCCACAAGCCCTGTGATGGATGGCACACAAAATCTAGATATAGACAAACTTGCAGAGAGTTCACCAATTAAAATAGTTATAACCGAGGGTTGTGTTCAGCGGAAGTCTCAGGGAGATGTAGGTAACATAACTAAAATACGAGAAACAGAACTAAGTTTGAATCCTGGATCTCCTCTGGTTATGACTCATCGAATCAACCTGGTACAAGGAACATGCAATGGAGGTTGTGAGACGGACATGGCTGCACTGAGGGAAAGAATTGAGCTTCTTGAAAAGGAGATGTCAGCTATTAAACAAATGTGTAAGTACAAGCATGAATTATTTTATCTTTTTTTTGAAAAAAAATTCAGTTAAAGAGATAATCACCCCAAAATATAAAATTTACTGTGTTTAATCAACCTCAAATGGTTCCAAACCTTTATGAGTTTTTTTTTTCTTTTTTCTTTCTGATGACTACAAAATAACATATTTTAAACAAAACTCAAAACCTGTAAACATTGACTTCCATAGTAAGAAAAACAAATGCTTTGCAAGTCATGGTTACATGTTTCCAGTATCACACAAGCACCTTTGGGGCTCAACCGTGTTCATTTGACATCAAAGGAATGTGGGATTCATTTTCACATGACTTCTGGATTTAGACAACCCAAGCCTGCCTTTAAAGGTGTTGTGTATGATCCACTTTGAGGTGTAAATAAAAACCAGTGAGTGAATTCAAGCTGAGTGCACTAGAAGAAATGCCGTTTTGTTTGTGCTTTGCTACTCAATTAATTCCTCAAGTGGATTAGACTTTGGTCAGACAACTTTTGGTCAGATCCTGTGATAGTTATTTAATATTTTGCGAGCTCTCTATTAGTCATGTAAAAAAATGTCAATTTAACAATTAAATAACAATTGATTTCTAAAATTCATTTGGCACATAAACTCTCTCAACACATTATGGGATTGACTGAGTGCCCTCAGACATGACTACAAACGGCTGCTAAATCAAATAGTGCATTATTTAAAGGTTTAGCGACTCAAACCTTTAAAGATTAAGGTGCTTCTATCCACAATCGCTCTCTGTCTGGTCTTGCAAATTATTTTGTGCAATTTGATTCGTCAGGCCCCTCTCATATATATGATCATTACAAAACTGGTATACTGCAAAATGGATGTCAGCAACATATTTGAATGGCCAGTGAGCAATGCATTTTTAATTGTGCAATATGTAAGTTTGATACCCAGTGGTTAAACTAGGTATTTCACTCCTGGTTCAAAAGCACAGGTTGCCAGATTGGCAACATCAGCAGGACCGTGCCTGACTATCAAGCCTAAAGCTTGATTTAAGGCTGATCCAAGTCTTGTTTTAAATAGCAACTGCATGCAAGGAAAATTTCACATATTAAGCCTAAAATTAATATTTTAGAAACGGCTTCTATTACTTGTAACTGACAATGATCACCTCAGGTACACCTCATGTGCTTTATTCAGTGATAAATGCTAATATTGTGACTTTGAATGCCATTTTACTAGACATTTAATGGCATTTACTGAAAGCAGCACCATAGTTTACCTCAGATTTGGAAAATAAAATCAAATAATTTTAAATTAAACTTTAGTACTGTGCTAGCCAACACATATCAGTGTTTAATATGAATTAATTAGATTAAAAACCTTACCATTTTGTTGGAGTGCACTAAGTGCACTATCCTGTGCTTCTATATGGCTGTATTTACATTTCTGTCATGTTTTGTCTGGTGCAAACAGTCAAAATCGCTTGTCACTACAAATCTCATTGCGAAGCGCGTTTTTAGGACACAGGGTTACAATGTAACCTGCTCACCTAATGTTTATGTTCACAATATTTATATTATTTGCTAACTAAAACCACCTCATGTAGAACTCTGAATCTGCATCTCATTTCAGAGTCTGCCACTTTGAGAGCCTTTCTGACTGAATAAATTTAATTTGCTGTTTTCCACCAAGGCAACCTGGGATGCTGAAATATACTTGGCTAAACGAGCAGTGGCGGGTTAAAGATACCAAAACAAAGACAGACGTTCTAGCATGGAACGCACATTTTTAAAGCAAAATATGAATGTTCACTTAGCAAGTTTCTTAAATATGGGAAAACATATGATATTTTTATGCTTTAGAAGAGTCAAAAACTTACATACTGCACCTTTAAAACAAAAATTCTCTAATGTAAATAGCAACTTACTCCAATTTGATGATTTGCTACAAGACTGTTGTAGTGCTTAGTCTGATAGTTGTGACAACCAGTACTCTGTTCAAACACAATTCTTTCCACATGCTCACATAAAAAAAAAAAACATACAAAGAGCTTGGACATATGAACAGTTTGTTTGTTTGTCAAGATGAAAAAATTATGAGAATTTACTTACTGCACCCTTATTGGAAATATTAAAAAATATTATTAATCAAGTATGTGTTATGACAATGCATATACATTAGAACTGAATGAACTGGTTATTACACTTTATCTGTCTTCAGGTGTTCCGTGCTCAGGAGAGCAGTGCCCTAAAAACTGTAGTGGCCAGGGCAAGTGTGAAGAAGGAAAGTGTGTTTGTTTCCAGGGCTTCAGTGGTCCAGACTGCAGTAGTAAAGCATGCCCCTCTAACTGCAACAAAAAAGGGAAGTGTGTGAAGGGAAAGTGTGTGTGCCAGACTGGTTTTACAGGCATAGGCTGCAGTAAAGGTGAGTCTGCATTATACACATATAGGAATCCATCACATCTTAGAATTCAAGTTTCATTTCACAATTGAGTGTCTGGAAATACTGTTGATGGTGTGTCTTTCATGAAAGAAAATATAAGGGGAAATTTAGTTCATGTCAATGCAACAGTTTTCCATACAATGAAAAAAATGGCTAACAGAGACAGTCAAACCTACCTCCAAAACCACAGGAAATTGCTATAGTACAGGCAATGTGATCAGTTTTAATGTGAGGAATCAACATAATCTTGTATATTTTGTATGATAAACAGCTTTTTCATGGTGTTTTGTTGTTGGTGTTTTAAATTTTATAGCTAAACAGTTCATGGTTCCAAACTATTTGAATTCCAAAGGAAATTGAAAGATGTACGTAGATACAAAGATAAACATCATTGATGCTGTAATGTTTAATTTGTTACATGGAGAAAAAAAAAATCATAATTTTGTAATCATAAGAGTGTATGATACATTTTAATTATGGGTTGAACTACTTATTTAAGATTGCAAGTCTCACTTTAAATGATTTTTCCTATAGCTATAGACGAGAGGATCACAGTAACTGTTGAAACTGTGACTATGAAGATGTCCAGTGCCATGCCAGACACAAAAACTGTCAAGACAAGGCCAGACAAGGCAATTTTAGTGAAAGAGACAGTTACAAAGGTCCCAAAGAAACACACTACAGCCAAGCCAACAGTAAAGCCAAGTCCCACCGCCTCCACAGATAAAGTCCTGTCCCATACCACAGGGAAAGACAACATTAAGATTGTTGGGCAACAATCTGAAAGCATGAAACTTCAAGAACAAACAAAGGGTAAAACAACAGTCATAAAGATGGGTTCAGACAATCAAGCACAAACTGATTTAAGTGACAAGAGCCATAATGCTAAAGATGAGCCTGCCTATCAGAATGTGACTCAAAGATCTGTAAAGAAGAGTAATGGAACTTCCAAAATTCTGCATAATTTGTTTAAAGGGTCAATGAATGTAACTCGGTCCAAGACAAAGATTACTACAAGAACTGCAGGAGATCAAGGGGAAGAAAGCAAGACCAATGCTGTCTCTGCTGAAAAAGACGAGAAGTTGTTTCATGGCAATGTAACAACAGTTCAAGCTGAGAAGAAGTCTGATAAGCCTGAAATTGATGCAAGTGTTGAATCCAAAGCTCATATGAAGCATTTCAGTAAAACTAGCAGCAGATTATCTGTCATTGGGTCAGTTGAGGTTCATAACATCACTTCTACTGGCTTCATTATGTCTTGGGAAGCACATCGAGACAAGTTCAAGAACTTCACTGTCACAAGAAGGGAAATCAAAGCAGGAAATGAAGATTCTGAGAAAATTCATGAAGCAATAGAAAATGTAACAGATGCTGAAAGGCTGGGATCAAACAGAACCTTGACTAAAATACTCAGTAGCAAATCTGAAGGAAACGCTATGAAAAAGTTTTCACAAATTCTAGCTGGTACAACTCGATCATATCATTTTAAAGGCCTTCAACCTCAAACTCAATATGCGATTTCCTTGTTTGGCTCTGGTCCTGGCATGCGATCCAAGATTCACCGCATTACATTATCCACAGGTACTGTAGGTTCCCATACTTCCTGCTTTGATTTACTCCAATAAATATGAGCATTTACTGGTGGTGCATTGGCAGTATTTGAGCATGATCAAACCTTTTATAAATACATAGACTACGGTGCCTTAAATATTATAAATGTTGATGTTGGCACGACTTGCTTACACTATTTAAGTCATAAATACTAAGCACAAGTACAAAACGGTCTTTGAATTTCTTTGACTCTTGTCTTAGAATTTCCAGTGCTAAAATTAATGATGTGTGCTGTAAATTGGTGAATGGTGATGCTTAATATTAAATCATTTTAAGAGTGAATGCACCAATTGATTACTTGGGTAATACGGCATATTTATATAAGAATATAAGTGTTTCAGGACTCTAAAATTTATCATTGCTATATTTCTCTCTTTTTTAGGCCCTGAGCCGCCCACTGACCTGGTGTTCAGCAACATAACAGAGACATCCTTTTCACTGTCCTGGGCAAAACCTAAAAGCATAGTGGCAGAATTTAAAGTCAAATACATCAACACTGTGACTGGTACTGTAAATCTGTTTAAATTAATCCTTTTCATAAGGTGTTGATGCCCATTTAACAGTCATCAGTTTCAAATCTTTAAAAGTTTTGATATTTGCATTTAAAATATATGTACATTTTTAAAGCTATAGTTTGTATTATACCCTATTTGCGTAAATTACAAAAAGTGTGGTTTATTTATAAAATTTTGAGAGGATCACGTGCTTCTGATCAACACAGCTGGCACCTCATTAGCTTCATAATCTGCCCTATTACAATTATGGAAGCATTATAAATAACGTTCGAGGTTACTAAAGTAACCCTTCGTTCCCCGAGGAGGGGAACGGAAGCACTATAAGTGGATTTGATTTGTAAAATCCACGCATTGGGAGGTTCGGTTCAGAAGCTACTCGTCTGAAAGAGTATTGAACGGGCCAATTAAGAATGAATTGGCAGCGCAAGCCTGCGCAGGTGAGCGGCATAAGCAATCAACTGAGTATATAAGCTCACCTGGCGCCAGCAGACGCTATCCTTTTTAAGCTGAAGAGACTTTCAACAGCTAAGGGACAGTCATTATGGCGACGGAGTATAGTGCTTCCGTTCCCCTCCTCAGGGAACGAAGGGTTACTTTAGTAACCTCGAACGTTCCCCTTCGGGGGGAACTTCAGCACTATAAGTGGATTTGATTTGTAAAATCCACGCATTGGGAGCCCATTGAAAGCGCCATAATGACTGCACCTTACCAACACCCCCGATGAGGAGATAGTCAAGCAAGCGTGACGCACCCGCATCAAGGGGGGCGCGGTCCTCCAACGTGTCCCTGGCCCTAATTTATCCTACTTCAACAGAAGTTTAACGGATTTAGATATATTTTTTGGGAAGTCGTGAGCATCTAGATAATTCTAGGAAAATACGACAGTACATTGGGAAGCGTGCAATCCCGATAGGGAGGACGCTGCGGAGGCCATCCGTTACCCAAGGGGGGATAGATGGCAGAATTTACATATGGACTAGCCCTAAAAAGGGGGAGTACGCATAGCAAAAGAGTGGTTAGCGGGGAGGGAAGACACGGGTCCGCCCAGGGGGGGGACTTAACCGTGGCGGAATAAGCATATGGGATCGCCTAGTGGGGATCACGCATAGCAGGCACCTTTACCCAAAACGCGGGCTGACCAGCGGGCAGACCTACAACGTAGTGGGCCAGCAAGTGACTCCTCCGCTGAGTCAGTGCTGGGGGCCACGGAGGAATCTGCAGGGCTCACCTGACGAGGAACTTTACTGACAGATAAAAAGGCGCACGTATCTCCGTGTTAGGGAAAATGGCGCAGCAAGCGTGTTTCAACACCCTACCGAATTGTTTCCTCAATCACCAAGGGTTACCTAATACCCTTGAGGAAACCGGCTCCACTCGCAGATTGTAAAACCTTGCAAATGTGTTGGGTGTCACCCAGCCCGCAGCTCTACAGAAGTCTGTTAGAGGGGCGCCGCGTGCGCGCGCTCGAGAGGATGCGAAACTCCGAGTGGAGTGCGCACGCGCTCTCGGGGGACGCGGCTTATCTCGGCTCTGATAGTGAAAGAAAGGCATCCACAATCTAGTGGGAACTTATTTCGGTACGGCACTTCCCTGCTGCCGACCGTTATAACAGACGAAGAGCTGCTCAGATGATCTAAACTCTGAGTGCGGTCCGGATAATACGCAAAACGCGAACTGGACAATAAAGAAGGGCTGGGTCTGCCTCCTCCGAGGGCAGCGCTTGCAGGCTCACTACCTCGTATTAAAACGGAGTGGTAGGAACCTTGGGCACATATCGCGGGCGGGGTCTCAGGACGTGAGAGAAGCCAGCCCAATTACAGGCACGAGTCACTGACCGAAAAATGCCTCCGGGTCCCCGACCCTCTAATCGATATCAACGCGACCAGCAGAGCTGTCTTCAGGGACAGAAAGATACTGAGTCGAGGATCGAAGGGATCTGACGCGGCTTGTGTAGCGAGGGCGAGATCCTAAGAGGGCATGAGAGGGGGCGGGATGGATTAATTCGCTTAACGCCCCTGAGGAACCGGATGATGAGGTTATGCGTTCCCACGGTGCTGCCAGCCACCGCGTTATGAGAGCGGAGATGGCAGCCACGTAACCTTGAGTGTGGAGGGCGACAGCCTGCTCTCCAGCTTCTCTCGGCGTAAAGAAAGCACAACGCTGATCTGGCAAATTACGGGGGTCTTCTCAGCGAGAGACACACCATTCAGTGAATAGACTCCACGTCAGGGCATAGGCGCGCTCGGGGAGGGGGCTCTAGCCCGAGTGACGGTATTAGCCACCACAATGGGAGGTTACCTAAGTCTTCCTCGCGTCTAAAATCTCTTCAAAGATCGGCGAGGGTGCCAGGTGGTACCCTGTCCCTGAGAGAGTAGGTGCTCTCTCGAAGGGACTGCCAGGGGAGGGCTATCGCGAGGGAGAGCTCTGACATCCAGGTCCGGTTGAGCCAGAGGGGCGCAACCAGCAACCTGTTCCTCGTCCTCTTCCTGACCTTGCACAGTAACTGCGCGAGCAGGCTCACTGGGGGAAACGCGTATTTGCGCGTGCCCCGAGGCCAGCTGTAAGCCAGTGCATCCGTGCCGAGAGCACTCGGTCAGGGAAAGAACAACTAGCAATGAGCGATCTCGGGGGAAGCAACAGATCGATCTGGGCTTCCCCGAATCGCGCCCATATCAGCTGAACAGACTCGGGGTGGAGTCTCCATTCTCCAGGACGCAAGGCTGCCGTGAGAGCGCATCGGCTGCACGGTTGAGCTTGCCTTAATATGAATGGTGTGCAGCGATTTCAGCCGCGGATGACTCCAGAGGAGCAGACGGCGGGCGAGCTGAGACATGCGGCGAGAGCGCATACCCTCTATACGGCTGATATACGCCACCACCGCCGTACTGTCCGTCCTGACCAGCACGTGTTGCCGCTCCAGCACCGGAAAAAAACGGTGGAGAGCGAGGAACACTGCCAACAGCTCCAGGCGATATGCCAATGCAACTGGGTACCTTTCCACAGGTCCGCAGCCGCATGCCCGCAACGCACAGCCCCCCAGCCCGTGTTGGAAGTGTCTGCTGAAACGACAACAAGACTGGACGCCTGTTCTAGAGACACCCAGGCCTGTAGGAACGAGGGGTCGCTCCAAGGGCTGAGGGCGCGGCGACACAGCGCAGTAACAGAGACTTGGTGTGCGCGCGCGTGCCATGCGCGTCTGGGGACTCGATCGTGAAGCCAGTGCTGAAGTGGTCTCATATAGAATAATCCGAGCGGCATGAAGCGGCTGCGGATGCCATATGCCCCAGGAGCCTCTGAAATAGTATCAGTGGGACCACTATTTTACTGTCGAGCTCTCTCAGACAGTACAGCATCAGCTGAGCGCGCTCTCCGGAGAGGCGCGCTGCCATGGTGACCGAGTCCAGCTCCAGCCCGAGAGAAGAGATCCTCTGCACGGGGGCGAGTTTGCTCTTTTCTCGGTTGACCTGAAACCCCCACAGGTGGAAGTGCCAGAGCACTTTGTCTCTGTGCATAATCAACTGCTCCGAGAGAGGGCAAAAATCAGCCAGTCGTAAAGAAATTGAGTATGCAGATGCCCGCGAGCCGAAGGGGCGCTGAGGCACCCTCCGCGGGCTTGGTGAGGACCCGCGGAGACAGAGAGAGCCCGAAGGGGAGGGCTTTGTATTGCCAAGCTCGACCTTCAAACGCAAACCGCAGAAACTGTCGGTGGCGAGGAAGAGTGGAGACATGGAAATACGCGTCCATCAGGTCTAATGCTGCAGACCAACCCAGAGGACGAACGCACCGGAGGATGCGCTTCTGCGTGAGCATTCTGAACGGCAGCTTGTGCAGGCAGCGGTTCAAAACGCGCAGATCTAGGATTGGCCGTGACCCACCGCTCTTTTTGGGCACGATGAAGCGTGGGCTGTAAAACCCACTCTCCATCTCGGCTGGAGGGAGCGGCTCGATTGCATCCTTCGCCAGGAGGACAGCAATCTCCTCTCGCAAGACAGGGGCGGACAGGGGGCTGACCCTGGTGAATACACACCCGTGACTTGGGGGGCCGTTTCGCGAACTGAATCGCATAGCCGAGTCTGATTGTGCGTATGAGCCACCGCGAAGAGCTGTGGGGCAGCGGTGGGGCAGCGCAGAGTGGGTGTGCTGATCCGGGAAGCTCGCGGGTCCCACGGAAAAGCTGGAGGTGAGATATTTGCTCTCACTCCAAACCCGAGCTCCGGAGGAGAGGCTCGAGGGGTGGGAGAAAGGAGACCGTCCTCCCAGCGCTCGTGAGCCACTGGCGAAACGCACCGAATCTGCAAGCTAGAAAGCTAGATAGCGTCCCAGACTGGCAGATTTCGGGCTGTCACATCTGGGGAAGTGAAAAGTGCCCTTTCATAATGTTTTCATGGCAGTAAAAAGTGCCGTTGGAAATGGGGCCCCGCCCTCCAGCGGGGAAAGAGCAAGTTCCCTCTTCTCCAGATGGCCTGTCCCAGGGGCGCTTCGCGGTCCGTTGCCGGACTTAGCGGCGTTCTGGGCAGGGGGGCTGCCTGCTTCCGAGGTGCCCGACGCGCTCGCTTCGCCTGAGGCGTGTGCGGGGGCGGAGCAGCTCTCGTAGGCGGGCGCCTTCGGCGAGGAGCAGGTATGAATGGCACGGCGGGCGGAGCGGGCTACGGACCGCCGATAAGACATCACCCACCAACTGCTCTCTCACCGCCTTGAATTCCTGGGTGAATTCACAGACAGTGTCGCCGAACCTGGCTGGGGATATGGGGAAGTCAAGAAAGCGGACTTTGTCGACTTTGCGCATATCAGCCAGGGGTGGCGCTCCTGGACCACTAATGTGGACATCGTCCTCCCCAACGCACACGCAGCGGACTCAGTAGTCCGAAGAGCTAAGTCGGCGGCGGTGCGAAGCTCGTAAGCCTGGGTTGGACTCACCCTCGTGCAGCTCGGCCAGCGCCTGCGCTTGGTAGCGCTGGTAGGTGGCTATCGCATGCAAGGCGGAAGCAGCCTGGCCCGCAGCTATGTAAGCTCTAGCTCCGAGGGAGGTAGATAACTTACAGGCTTTGGATGGGAGACGAGGCGGACCCCGCCAAGAAGAGGCGCCGCGCGGATTTACCGCCATCGCGCACTCAACCTGAGGAATCGCCACATACCCCCTGGCTGTTTCACCGTCAAGAGTGGTTAGGGTGGAGGAACACGCAGCACGAGCAGAAAAAAGTGCTTTACAAGACCGCGTGAGCCTACTGTGCACCTCCGGGAAGAAGGGAACGCCCCTCTAGTCGGTCCGGCCGCGGAGCTGGGGGATAAACCATCTCCAACCCACGGCCGAAGCAGCCCGGGAAAGCACGGCTAACATGTCCGTTTCAGGATCCGTAGTGACAGCGCTCACCAGCCCGAAGGGGGCGAGCGGGTCTGGATCATCATCGGACAATGAAAGCCCACCCTCCGATGCCGCGGTGGACATCTGGTCTCTGGTGTCATCGGGCGTAAGGGCTACCATCTGTTAGACGGATCGCTTCCCCCGCCCGAAGCTTGGATGGAGCGCTTAGAGGAGCGGGAGGTCCGCGGGCCCGTGGGCGACGGATTATCTCTCGCTGAAACCCTCAGATCTGCCCGAGTGCCCGCTGCAGAGCAGGGGACAACTGGGGTGGTTCACCCTTTTGCAAAGGCTAACCGCGATCTTGCGCAACAGTCATGGCATCGCAATGACGACATGAACTGCCCGCAAGCAGCGCATTAACATGCTGGACCCCCAGACATGTAACGCAGTGCCCGCGCCCATCATCCGAGGACAGGAAACCACCGCATCCAGAAACGCACAGTCGGAGCGCCGTCCTGAAAAGGACGTGCTGCACGACTGTGTTGCTCTTTCTGTGAAGTTTGCAACTTTATACGCACCGCTCTGGAGGACCGGACCCAAAGAACGCCAGGCAAGGGAGAAACCCAGCTCGACCGTCTGCCACTGCGTGTACACACTCTGGACCGGGAGAATGCTCTCGTTCGCTCAGAATCGCTGGTCACAGCAGGAGGAACCCTCATCGACTCGATCAGAAAGTCTCTGAAGCGAAAAGGATAGCGTCTGCTGGCGCCAGGTGAGCTTATATACTCAGTTGATTGCTTATGCCGCTCACCTGCGCAGGCTTGCGCTGCCAATTCATTCTTAATTGGCCCGTTCAATACTCTTTCAGACGAGTAGCTTCTGAACCGAACCTCCCAATGCGTGGATTTTACAAATCAAATCCACTTATAGTGCTGAAGTTCCCCCCGAAGGGGAACCAGAGTTTTTTAGTCCAGTTATCTTCCGTCTTTAAGTTTCCCTCCTTACACCCCTACTTCCCACTCTATTATCTGATTGGGAGACACGGTGGCCCAATGGCTAGCATTCTTGCCTCACAGCAAGAACACCGCTGGTCCAACCTCCTATCGGGCTGGTTGGCGATTCTGTTGCAGAGTTTCCATGTTCTCCCCATGTTCACGTGGGTTTCCCCCGGGTTTCCCGGTTTCCTCCCACCGTCCAAAAACATACACCATAGCCAAACGATTAAACCAAATTCTCACCCAAGACATCCTTGGTTTACACTTCTCACACGGCGACAAGCAGGGGAGTTCTCGAGACCTACCTGAGCTTCTAACTGGAGGGAGCTGCAGGCTTGAGGATATTACCAGCTCAGGGCTCTCTTCCGGGACAGCATGCCAATACACTTTGTTGATTATCAGCTGAGTGAATTCTTGAAAGCGAGTCAAAGCTTACGTGAGGGGTTTCTAATGGATGGGACAGTAAATTTGACATTGTTCTCTCTTCTGGCTGCCAATATTAGTTTCTCTTTATATTTTTGTTTTTTTGAAAGTCATTATGACATCCTTGTGGTTTTTCTTTAGTTATTTGAGCAAGTTGGAATGCAAAAAAATTGTAGTAGTCTTCCATTCACTGCACTCTACCCAACTATGTTGACCTACGCTGCTGAGAAACTCTAAACTTTGAAAAGGGTGTATTATACAATCATTATACTTGAGTACACTCATGCAGATATGTCACAATGTCATTTTAAAATGTCTTATCATTTCCCTGCAGGCGAGAGTGGCTCCATGTCTGTTGACTCCCAGCTGTCCCATGTTCTCCTGTCTAAGCTCACTGCTGGCACCACTTATGACATTACTGTGAGCTCAGTCCTGGATAAACTCGAGAGTGAGCCAGTCATAGCTTCTATCACCACAGGTTTGTATAATAATGAATCAAACAGCTACAAACAGAAACATTACAAACTTTTATTTGATACAAAACATATTGAAAGTAAAGTTGAACAATAAAACAAGGTTTGTGTACTCGTGTACATAATGAATTTGTCAGCTTGTGTGAATGTGTCAGTTTACACAACAGTCAAAAAACTGCTGTATGTGAGATGTTATTACCATTTATGATCTAAACAGGTTGGATGGGGATTGTTGCAAATGGCCATTTTTAGACTTCTTCAGAGATGTTTGATTGAGTCCAAGTTTGACCAATGGTTGGTCTAAAGGAGCACATTATAGAGCTTTTACGATTCGACTTTTGCTTAATGTGAATTTCCTGCTAACTTTCAGCCATCCTGAATTATATTTACTTTTCCTTCTTCCCTGCCACCATGCCTTATATTTGAGACTTTATTATGCAGGGGTTGAACAGGGCTTTGTTTTCTCCACATATTACACTTGAACCTACATCTATTACTATCTGAAAGTTCTTCTGTGTTTAATCTTAAGGAAAAGCTTGAGTCTGGCCACAGATCATTAGTGTTAAACTAATGTTTGTCCTTCTATAAGTCTTGCTCAGTTTGTCTGTCTTCCATTTAGGATTTCACATGAACAATTTTTTTTTTTGCAAAAAAGTAGCACATTTTTTAAGTCGTCCCCAGATCTGTGTCTCAATCAGTGTAATCTCACGAGAATACGTAAGTATTTTTCATTTTGCCAGTTTAGTGGCTAATTCGTAGTTCAGTCGTACAAAATTGTACGATCTTAAAAAAAGAGGCGTGGCACCTAACCCCTCCCTTAAACCCAACCGTCATTGGGGGATGAGCAAATCACACTAATTTGTACGAATTAGATAGTACGAATTCATACGAATTAGACACTAAATCAAAAAGTTACGAATTGCCGTGAGATTGTGTTAGTCTCAATACAATCCTGTCTCTGCTGGCCATTGCTTTGAGAGTTTGTTTGATGCATGTTCAACCTTACATAAATGTGTGCCCTTCCAAATCATGCCCAGACAAATTAAATTGTCACAGGGTAACTCCAATTAAAAAATTGGAGAAAAAAGAAACATCTCTAATGATTTTCATTTTCCAAATTTTTTGTATTATACGTACTAATTACTATTTCACTTTTCTCTCAATCCTAGTGCCAGATTCTCCTACTGAACTAAAAGTAGTGAACATCACAGACACTAAAGCTTTGCTGGTATGGAAACCGTCCAAAGCAAAGGTGGACAGCTATATCCTAAGTTATGGGACTACAAAGTGTAAGTGAAGTTGAATATTTTCTTAAATTCTCAACTGAACTGTCCAACTGAACTGCTCATTCTGAAAACGTAGCCCTATATACGTTTCTGGAGACAGCAAATTCTGTAGCCAGAGGTATGTATGGCTGCATTTCATATTTAACAAAAGCTATGGGGCGGTATGATGCCATTTCTTTTCGCGCTTACCAGCTCACTGCTTACGTGTGGACTGCTTTCCCGCTGTAACCAGTTTGTACCGTTAGCTCACCATGTACGTCAGAGGACTTAAGATGCAGAGAAAAGTTGACCAAAATGACAGAGTTTGAGTCCGGTGAAGAACGGTTCCAGAAAACAGGAAAAACAAAAACAGAACACAAAACCTTAAAGAAACGAATAAATAACAGGGTGAAAATGTGGTCAAATCTGAAAATGTGGTAAAAATCAGGCGAAGGCTTTTCTTTTTCTGGACTGCTTTTAAAAAGTGTTGGTTGGGTTTAAAGGGCCATTAAACCCCCTCGTTTCAGCAGTGTGTTTTCACACCTCTACTCTGGAAAAAGTCAGAAAAGTGGGCGTGTCCAGCTCTGTTTAGGGGGAGTGTCGGAGGAAGAAAAGCGGCTTGGTATGGGAGTGTCTATTTGGGCGCGCTGAATTTCAGAGTCAAAACACACACCCACAGCGGACAATGTGACTGTGTTTACATGGACATCTGTAGTCAAATTATTTGCCATGTTATTAAATGGTGGACTTTAACTGCAGTTTGGCTCTTTCATTCAGGGAATTCATTCATGTCCCTCCCGACAAACGTGATATTTGATTCGAGGCGCTGCTCTAAGCGTGTATTTTTCATGCAATGTTTGATACCGCACGGCGAATGAGAGAAAAAAAACTCAGCATTTCCCGGAAACTTAGATACACACGGCAGGTAGCGTCAGAAAGCCGCGTGTGTTATTCCGGTTACAAAATCCAACACGAGGTTATAGTTTGGTTGTAACTGTTAGTGCTAACTATTGCACTCGGTGCAATAGTTTGTTTGATACGAATAAAATACGAACTGAATAAACAAAGAGCACTGGTCGCTCACTTACCAAATCTGTAGAGACAGGACAATCACCAGCAACTAGAGCCGCGTCTTTATTTAGAGGAGACTACAATCTGGATCTCAGCGTTTGCAGATGAGAACAGCTCTCAGGTAAACAATAATCCTCCTTAGACACGTAAGTTATTGTTGTCGCGCGTCGCGTACACTGTTAATCCACGCGTGAGTCTGCGCTCTCACAGAGACAAAATGAAAACGAAACTTAACTGCAGCAAACTATAAAAGCAACACTTCACGCTTGTTTTGTCAACACAACGTGGCGTCTTTGCCGTCTACACTGTGACAGTAATGAATATTAATGAAGTTGCACAATAGAGCGCGCTGATTGGTTTGAACCAAGCCTTACTCATGCATTAATGCATCACACTGTAAGACGTAATAAGACACACTCTGGCACAGACGCCAAGTCTGCACGCTGGAATACACGCTATTATGTCATGGCCGTGACGCAGCTTCAAAAATTCGTTTCAAACAGGAAGTACGAATTTGCTTGAAATAACGCAAAAACAACCAATTTACACTTTTTAGTGAAATATAGGTGTCCTAATAGTGTTTTTAGCAGTGTGGGACACATATACGACTGTCAACAGCTCAAAAAATGTGTTTTGGTGTTTCGTGACCCTTTAAGGAAGTGGGTGGTTGGGTCAATCAATACAATTGATTGTGTTTATAGAAGGAGGAGGGTGGGTCAATTGATCGGTCAGTCAGTTAGTCAGTCAGTCAGTCATATAATCAGTCAAACACTCAGTCAACAATAGCCTCTGGTGGGTTTATGCAAGAACAGCAGGCACGAATGGCACTCGTAAAAGAAATTTGAGATCTCAAAAAGCCTGCACAGCAACCTCTCGTGGATTCTCAAAAAATGCAAAAGAAAGTGCCCCCTGGGATGTATTTTGTGGTCTTCAGAAATGTATATAGAAGTAGCTTTTCAGAATGAGCCTGGGTTGGAACTGTCATGACTTTATTCAATATTTTTTTCTTTTCTGCTTTTTTTTTTTTTTTTTTTTTTTGCTTTCTAGCTCCTAATGTGACTATTACAGTGACTTTATCTGGCAGTTCTGTGGAGCACCAGCTTAGAGCACTTCATAGATCTTCTTTATACATGGTGAAAATGACAAGTCAAGTCAACAGGCTCCAGAGTAGCTCAGTCTCCACATCTTTCACAACAGGAAGTGGTGAGTAAACACAGTCATGGTGCTATATAAAAGCATTTTATTGGTTACACTTTAAAAATAAGTTCACTAACATGAACTATGAACAATTCTTGTACACCATTGAAGAATTAAAATTAACATTACTTGTTAACTAGTGTTAGCAAGTGTTATCTAGTACTAACAATGAGTCATTTTATTTTCATTAGCTAACATTAACAAGGATGAATAAATACTGTAATAATGGTATTGTTCATTATGTTTATGTTAGTAAATACATTGACTAATATCATTACACGGCTGTCAGGAATATTTGATTCTGATTGGTTATTTTCAAGGTTGGACATTCCAAAGTATGTTATTCTACTGTATATAAAAACCTCTGAAACACAGGATCCTTCAGGTACTTTAAAACATCTGGACCATCAGTAAATACATTCATATCGATATACATACATCCACATTTATATTTAAAGACCATTTTGAGGGATGTAAAAAAAAAACAATGGTCCCAACGCATTTCCTGTTTTACATTTTTTTTTCTATAGCTTCCGAGAATCCAAAAAGAGCCACATATTGATAAATAATGTTATGATAGCTGGTTTAACATTAAGTTATAATTGAATCCCCTCTTGTTACAGTTATGAAATAGTTTTACATGTAACAATGTTTAATGTGTATTTTTATTTTTTTAATGGCAATTAACCACGTAATAAGCTTATACAAAAGCATGTCAGCCTTTATTCTGCAATAGCAACCATCTGGAAGTACTTTATCCCTCACATAATTAATGGAATCTTTTTGTAAAGTGGTACCACTAAATGGCCAATATTAAAATCCAATGTATTTGTGTTAATAGTAATAAAATATATTAACTAATAATCTATTAACTTTATTTTATTTAAAGATGTAAAAAATTAAATGCAATAAAAATGTTAAATCAGCATCACGGTGGCGCAGTAGGTAGCACAATCACCTCACAGCAAGAAGGTCGCTGGTTCGAGCCTCGGCTGGATCAACTGGCATTTCTGTGTTGAGTTTGCATGTTCTGCCAATGTTTGTGTGGGTTTGCTCCAGGTACTCCAGTGTCCCCTACAGTCCACAGACATACACTATAAGTGTATTGGGTAAGCTAAATTGTCATGTATGTGTGTAAATGGGTGTGTGAGGGCGTTCCCAGTGCAAGGATTGCGGCTGAAAGTTCATCCGCTCCATAAAACATATGCGGGATAAGTTGGTGGTTCATTCTGCGGTAACGACCCATGATTAATAATGGGACTAAGCTAAATAGAAAATGTTAAATCATTCTATTCTGATATATTACAAAGCTTTGCAAAAATCACCAGATATCTATAGTTTTACTCATTGATTAAGAAGTCAAAACAGATTATTTGTCAAAGAAAGCCTGTATGTTTTCCAGGGGTGAAGCTTCAAGTAGTGACCCCTGATGAGGTGACCTTTCACTCAGCTGTGATTTCATGGAAGGCTCCCCGTGTAGCTTTCAAAAGCTACAGGCTCACATACCAGCTTAGCGAGGAAGTCAAGGTGAATACATCAGTAACACCTGAGACAAATTTAGCAGCCTTCCCACAGCTTACCGAACCCCTGCTTTAAATTTTAACAGGAGCTGATTTTAAATCCATCTGTGACTCATTATGAGCTGACTGGACTGGCGGCTTTCTCAAACTATACTGTGAAAATAGACGGAGAAAGAGATGGGCAGTACATCAGTTTTGTCTCTTCTGACTTTACAACCGGTATGTAATGTTCCTTTTTAAAACAGCTTTAAATCCAGGTCTGGCTGTGTTGTAATTGTCAGAGATTTAACTTTCTTTCTTCGTCCCCCTTCAGCCCAGCTTCCACACCCATATCCCACAGACTGCTCAGAGGTGCAGATCAATGGGATGAAGGAGTCAGGAGAGGCTGAGATCTACCCTGAAGGGAAGAATGGAGAGCCGGTCAGGGTGTACTGTGACATGGAAACAGATGGAGGTGCCTGGACAGTAAGAAACAAAAGCCTGGATTACGCATTCTAAAAAATGGTGCTTAATAGCACTAAAAATCTTATTAATTTTAAGTTCTGCATACCTATATCTTTAAAGATGGTGCTATGTGTCATCTTAACCATCCCGAAGAACCACTGAAGTACTAATACTGGTACTGGATAGCACTGAAATTGGTTCCCCTATGATTATAAGCAGAAAAAACACTTCTTCCAAAGAACCACGATGTTAAGGACATCAACTACCACAAAGAACTGCTGAAGAATATTTTTTTATATATATAGTCATTGCTGTCCAGATTAAATTTACAGTGGCGCATGTATTACATGTCTGGATCTTTTAAATAGCCAAAAGTGTTTTTGTTAGCTTTTAAAATGCAGGCTTATTACAGGGTACAAACACTCATTTAGATGAGTCGTAAATGTCTTTTTGTCTTGTTTTATGCTTGAACTAAATGTCAATTGTCAACTGATTATATTTTAATTGCATTACAATATCATTGCTGTAAAAAGAAACTGTATACAATTGAAAAAAGTCACTTAGCTGTAAGTCATTTAACTCTTCACCGGAAGATCATCGGTATGGGAAGAAACACTAGCTCTGCATATACCCTATTACATTCTCTTCATGCTCTCAATTATATTCTCTACAGTATTGTTTCTAATATTTTTGATTTTTTTTTACCAATTCCACTATGACGTGACCATCACACAATTATTTTCATTGCAATAAAAAAACACTAATACGTTGACTGAATGAAATTAAATTAGTAAACTTGTTGCCTCAGTTTAATGATTAATAGAGTCTCCCAAAACTTGCATATTTAAGTTCATTTAACTTGTCAGTTTGGTAGATTATACTTAAATTATTCAGTTCACTGTGTGTGTGTGTGTGTGTGTGTTTGTTTGTGATTTTATGCAATGAAAAAAATGTTTAAAAGAAAAATAAGTAGCCATTTATCCCCATTATGGTGAATAATTATATACAAAGCCTTGTTTTCTGATTTAAAAAAAGACCTTGCTAAAAGGTTGGACATATTAGAATTTAAAGTCAAGACTAAATTAAAAACTACCTATTTTCTCAAAGGATTAATTGTGATTTTGAGCTTACTATACTTGAAATCTTAAGTTTATGCATTTTCATTGTATACAAGCTAAATTAACTCACATTTTTTTAGGTTACAGGACCAAAATGCTAAATTAAGTAATGTTCAGTCAACTTTACTTGATTGTTAAAGAAAGCATTAGGGTTTACAGTGTGGTTTAATGTCTCTTTACACATAATTTTCACCAAAAAAATATAATTGTTTTAATATTTACATAATTTAAATGAGAAGACTTAAATTTACTTTTATTTAGTGACTTAAATAAAAATCTTTTTTTCAACTTTTTACGATTATCATGTCCATGTAAAAATGTTTTTGTGACATATCACGTACATGTGTATTGCATCCTCAGATGGATTTGAGTAAGGCTGTTGTTTTACAAATTCAGGTTTTCCAGAGAAGAATGGATGGATCCACAGATTTCTTTAGGAGCTGGAGAGACTATAGTAAAGGCTTTGGTCTCTTAAGTGGAGAATTCTGGCTGGGTGAGATTCTCCATGGAGATTATATTTTATTTTTTTAAAACCCGACCCCAATTTGTATTTTTTTAAATATCTGAGGTAGTCTCACCTAAAAAAAATATCAGCTTGACATCTTGGGTATTTATTTAAATTACACCTCTTCCCCTCTACTCAGGAAATGATGTGCTTCACACTCTCACCAGTCTTAAAGCAATGAGCTTGCGGATTGACCTGCGCTCAGGAAATGACACAGCCTTTGCTCAATATATAAACTTTAACATTAGCTCAGAGGCTAATCACTATGCAATTGACCTGTCTGGATACTCTGGCACTGCTGGTAAGAGAGAAAAAATCTAAATTTGGAGAAAAAAAAAAGCTGTTATTTTAGATTTTTATAAGATGTTGTCTTTTTCTAGGCGATTCCATGAAATATCACAAAGGCCGTCCATTCTCTACCAAAGACAAAGACCCGGACACGCTCAGCATCCACTGCGCTAAAGCCTACATGGGAGGATGGTGGTATAAAAACTGCTACAAGGCGAATCTCAACGGCCTCTACGCCTCTTATTCAGACAACAAGGTATTGCAGCGGCAAATTGGAGCATTTCTGTAGCTTGCAATATGGGAGTGTGACTTTTCACAGACACCTTTTTTAATGACCACTTACCTTCAAATTAAAAATCAAAAGCATCTGCTAAATGACTTAAAGTAAAAGTCATATCTTAGATTTAGATCAACAATTTTGGCCCAATTTTGGCATGATCCAATCCTTACAGAAAATCCATGCGAGCAATCATGTAAAAACACGTGATCCATCTAGAACATGTAAACAGTGTGATTTTTTTGTAAATCCCAACATCTTTGTTTTATGTGATTTACGTGTATTTTTACAGGTGAAGCTTGCTTGTTTTGTTTGTAAAGGATTTGACAGTTGTGGTTTGTAAATGACAATGGGTGGAAGGATGCAAGAATTAGTTACTTTATTCAGTTCATCTTTATTTCTATAGCACTTTTTACAATGTACATTGTGTTAAAGCAGCTTAACATACTGTAGATGAAGAAAAGAGAGTAAAAGCCAAAATACTACAAATTGTTCAATTGAAACTGCTTTCCATTTATTTTAATATAAATGCCACTGTTGAAGATCAGTTCAATGTAGTTCAGATCAGTATAATGCAAATGTCACTGCTGAAGGCCAATCCACTTTAGAGCAACTCCACCAGTTTATCTCAGAATGTGTCATGGGGTACTTTCACACTTGGTTCAATTGCCTTGAGTGTACCCAAGTTCGATTGTCTCTCCCTTGCCACCTTCTTGGATGGTGTGTGTTCACACTCTCTTTTTCCCTTGGAACCCCGGTAAGCTTGCATTCTCGAGCTGCTGTTTTGTGTATGGCTGTTGCTAGGTGAAAGCAAACCGCCAAATTGGAAAGACGTCCACACATCAAGGTCATTCTGCTTTTACTGAATCTCTTGGTTTTGGACATACAGAAAGTGACTCGCGGGTGGTGCAGTGGGTAGTACTGTCGCTTCACAACAAGAAGGTCGCTGGTTTGAGCCTCGACTGGGTCAGTTGGCATTTCTGTGTGTTCTCTCTGTGTTCGCATGGGTTTCTTTCGGGTGCTCTGGTTTCCCCCACAAGTCCAAAGACATGTGATACAGTTGAATTGGGTAAGCTAAAAATTGTTCATAGTGTATGTGTCTCAGTGAGTGCGTTGGTGTTTCCCAGTGATGGGTTGCAGCTAAAAGGACATCCGCTGTGTAAAAAAAAGCTGGATTAGTAGGCGGTTCATTACGCTGTGGCGACCCCAGATTACTAAAGGGACTAAGCTGAAAAGAAAATAAATAAATAAATGAAGAAAGTGACTCGTGTCTATTTGCCGCAAAAAATATTATAAACGTTCAGAACATCACGTGATGTCTGCAGAAAGCTGTTTTTGGAGGGGACAAGCAGACATTATCACTGTGTTTGCCCTTGCTAAGTCCCGCTTGTCACCAAGGTACAGTACGTGATACACAGAGACACACATACAGACACACACACGAATGAAGGTTATGAAATGATAGTTTGTTGTACAGTTGGCGGTTTACTTCCGTTATTTGGTATGATTGCATTCATACCAGTAAGGAATCGGACCAGAGTTTGTGTGAACCGAACCCCAGACCACCTCTTTCAGCCAAAATAGGGTACGGTACATGTGTGCACACTAGAGTTCAGAAAATGCATTCACACTAGCTAAACGTACCGTACTCTGATGTCAAACGAAACTGGGTGCGGACCAAAAGTGCTAGTGAAAAAGCACCCATAGAAAACGACATCCAACATCCCAATTAAAAAAAACAAGTTTATTTTATTTATTTTTTTTTTCTGTGATCCGGACCACTAAAAGCTCAGAATTCTTCCATACACATCATTCGAAGATGGTGAAATAAAAGAGAGATGTGATATTGGTGATGCTAAGTGGAATTATTCAGTTGAGGTTTGTGAAGCCATGGCAACAGTACTCGTATAACAGTACTAGTAGCACATATGATGGGTTTTTCTGACAACAAGACGTTGTACAGTTTATCTACACAATTGTTTCTGAAAGTCAAAACAAGAATTCTAAGAAAGTCAAAATCACATAATCTGACGAGAGTTTCCTCATCTTCAAAACTAACAAATAGGTTGTTTGTGCAAGCATTTTTATTTATTTAAAATAATGACAGTGCATGTTTTGTGTTGTGTAAAATTGCATGTGACTGGTGTAACCAATCAAAATTCAGAACATGATTTACAGTCCATTCTCCATTAAAAAAAAAAAACCTTAGCGTCCACTTTGCTGAGGCATACATAGGAGGATGGTGATATAAAAACTGCTAAAAGGGAAGCTTCTAAGCCTCGTATTACATTGACATTTAAGCAGTTAGCAGATGCTTTTGACCTACAATTGAGGAGGCATTCAGAAATTTAATAAGAGGCAATACGCACAAGAAGTGCTAATTATACAAAAATTCTTAGTCCTCAGAGAACTAAGTACTAGAGAGAAGAGTGTTTCTACTGGTGGTTTGTCAAGCCCACTTACGTGTGTAAAGCATTTCTTATACTCAATTTCAACTTATATGCACAAGTTTTTACTACATGTTGAACTACTACATTAAGAGGCATGGATTGATTGTAAGTACATTTCGAGTGCAAATATACTAAAACTAGTGCAAGTGTCAGTTAAAGTATCAGACAGATAAGAAAATGTGTTTTCTACAGGTGGTTTGTCAAACCCACTCACTCTCACTGATTGAAACTATGATTGTTGTGCTACTGTGACACAATGCTCTACCATCTGAGCTACATAAATCACACATTTTAGCATTGATGAAATCACATATTTGATTTATGGCTAACAGATTAGAGCACTATTTAGAAACACTCTTATATCATATTTCAGGGGTCACAAACAACCTAAATAGTCCTACAACATACATTGAAGGATATGTTGAATCTGACAAACTGACTGTCATCTCAGAGTAAAAATATCCAACACAATCTCATGACATTTTGTAACTTTTTTGATTCAGTGGCTAGTTCTTATGAATCTGTATGATCTTTTTTGTACATTTTTGTATGATTTGCTCATCCCCAATGATGGTTGGGTTTAGGGATGGGAGTGTGTGCCATGCCTCCTTTTTAAAATAGTACATTTTGTACGACTGAACTGGTATGAATTCGTAGGAATTAGTCACTAAACTGACAAAGCGTAAAATACAAACATTTTCTACTAAGAAAAAAAAAAAGCTGAAATATCATGTAGTCTGAATGGCCACTGTCCTCCAGGACAATGACCCTCCAGGATTAGTGTTAGCTAGCAATTTACTCTACTGAGTGAAGCTTGAAGCCACTGCTCTTATGAGTCACTTTTTTAAAAATTACTAAAAGTAGCCAAATAAATGTTAAAAACTGCTAAATTTGTTGCTAGGTGCTTTTTGGAAAAAGAAATTGCTAGGGTAGTATGAAAAGTTGCTAGCAACAATATTGCTAAGTTGGCAACACTGTCCAGGACAGAATCTGGACACCACCGGTATAGGTCAAGTTGTCTACCAATTTTTTATTTTTGTTTCGTCTTGTTTTGCAGGGTGTGGTGTGGATTGACTGGAAAGGCAAAGACGCATCCCTGCCATTTACAGAAATGAAGCTTCGACCTTCCAATTTTAGTCAAACAACCTCAACAACTCCAACAGCCCAAAGTTAAACCTGCAAAGTGAATAATGCACAATGTGCAAATACACTGTACAAATTTCTACACTGCTACTTCATTGTATATAAGTTGACAACATGCATACAATTCTTATATTACTTTGATGTGTAGCTTTGCAAATCACATTCTTTAGTGTACAACACTTTGTTTCTTAGAATTGTTATGTAGACATGCATGTGTCAATGTTCTGGTGTTCAATTATCTACCACAGATCTTACCATTTCTCCTACTGAAATAACTGCACTGTTTTGGTCTGTTGTTGCTTTTTTTGGATAATTCATGTTACTTCAAATCTCTTTATATTACTATCACCCCTGTCTATAAATTTGTTTTACTTTCCTTGTTTCAAGATGTGTAGAGAAAATGAATAAAACAATGTACTAACCAGTCCTGGGTTCAGGAAGTGAGTTTTTGCTTACTATTATTATTATTATTAGTAGTAGTAGTAGTAGTAGTAGTAGTAGTAGAAGAAGCAGTAATAGTGGTACATAATAAAAAATGTTAAGTGTTTTTTAATGTTTGATCAAACCCAACAGTTAAAAAGGATAATTAAAATGAAATTGAAAACGAATTACAATGTCAGGTTTATCAACACTGAGTTGCTAGTTTAAAGACATAGTTATTATAGATGTGTGCTGTTATTGATATGATTTCTATAATATAGTGTAATATTAGACAACCCAAAGTATTTTTGCATACACAGAAGTGATGTCTTTTTTAATGATTCAAATAACTTCTGTGTAAATGTCAAAAAATAAAATGACAAAATATAAATGCAGTAAAGTTATGCCATCATTTAGGTTAAAATATATGCTTAAGTAAAACTGAAACAATGTACGTTGTCTGGCCTGTACTTATTAAAAATAATAATAGTAAATGTATTAAATTTTAAATTATTACAAACTTCTTGTTGGTAAAGGGTTAAAACCTTTTTGTTTATAAATGCTGGCAAAGCATCCAGTTTTTTATCTAATAGTATTTAATCATAAGATGATTACATTTTAATATTACTGACAAGAACAAAAATGGTCGAAATTTTATTTATTAATTAGTTTTTATTTAAACCTTTATGCTTAAAACCCGCCTTTTTTCGTTAACAAACATATCTGTATAAAGATTCAATGGATTAGTGCAATTCAACCATGAGTGAATTATCACACTATAACTTCTCTTTACAGGCAAATTCTCTTCCAGATGTCTACGTTGAGCTAAAATGCAAACTGAAGCAGACTGGTTAAACAGTAACTCCATTCCTGTCGCAGGGCTGAAGGATTAAGACTGTGGTTTGGCTATAGACTAGATTCCGCCATACCTGACACTATACTTCTTTGACTGGCTTTGCCGGGTGGTAACTGTATTTCACTATATTCCTGAGCTAATGCTGAATCACTGCTTTATTTCCAATGAATGGGGTCTTTCCATCCAACGGCTTGCGGCAATATATCAGCATGAAGCTCAGCAGTAAAGGTTATACAATAGCACTCACAGTAACTTAGTGTTTGGCTGCACTATATATATATGCACTTTCTTTTTTGACTAAATAGAATCTTTGTTGGTCAAAAACCAAATGGTGATTTGGTATCCTGTAATGTCATTCATCAAACCGTGCTGTTATTGGTTTATATTTCTTGGTTTGAGAGTAACATTGAGATAAAGGTCAAGATAATATTTACCTATCCTTGATGAGAGAATACATGGAGGTGGAAGATGATAAAAGGGGTCAGAGTAATAGAAAAGCTTTCAGAAAGCTTTAGCTACAGAGAGAACTAACAGCATGTGTTTCTCTGTGGTCAGTGTTGTGCTATTGCTGTTCATTTTGTGGATGCTTGTGGTCAAGTTTAGGAGACAGAGCCACAGACGAACTGATGGCGTTGCCAAAGAAAACAACAAACCAGAAGGTAGGAGGTTTGATTTTACTGAGAGCTGTGGGGGCATCTAAATTGAAGAATAGTTTCATTGATAACAACAGCTCAGCTTTGATTTAATGGAACACTGCATTTTTTTATTTTGCAACTCCCCTAGAGTTAAACAGTTGAGTTTCAATATTTTTTAATACATTCAGCCAATCTCCTGAAACCCTATAAGTTTTGCATGAATTATTGAATCACACATTAGACCATTAGCATTTCACTCAAAAATGGCCAAAGAGTTTTGTAAAGCTTGACTTTTGTAGTTGTGTAGTTCACTGTGCACTAAGACCGACAAAATATAAACACTTTCTATTTTCAAAGTCGCCATGGCAAGGAACTATATACTTTCATTCTGACCTAATAATTTCCTGCACCATGGCTGCAACAAATGCTACTGCATTATGTAGCACTGCAGCCATGAAACATAAGCAAAGTTCCTTTTCTTATTATTACAGAATGAGAATATAGATAACATGTACTTCATGTAGACGTCTTTGAAAGATCGCAACATCTGCTATTTATTAATTAGCCATCTTCTTTACCTCTATAAATCGTTTATATGATGAATCTTGAACTCCTGAAATTACTGAAGTATGATAACAAGCTCTGGTAAACAGATGCGATGAACTCATTGTACTGTCATGGGTCGCAACACATGCTTGTTTTCTTGTTTTACACTTGTTTTCCATTTGTCTTAAAACATAATGTAACTGTAGAATACTCAAACTTTAAAAAGTAAAAATTATTGAAACTCTTTTTTAATTATAGTTGAGTGAGATGCTAATGGTAAATCTGATTTAATGATTAATGCTAAGCTAATTTAACAAAAAAGTGCTTCAGAAAGACCTGGTGATCAGATAAATAGATTTAAAAAATGGTAAAACAACTCTCGTGGGCTAAACAAGCCTGTTTATACAAACAAACAAACAAAAAAGATTGTTATTTTAATATGTGTTTCTTTTTATTGTCCAATAGCTGTTTTTCCCAAACTCCTGCATTCACTCTATAAGCTCTTCTTCAGTACCGTTTCTCCAACTATTTCTGGTCCTCGCTCTCTCCCTTTGCTGGGAAACATGCTGGATCTCGCCCAAGATCATCTGCCCATCCACTTGACTGCATTGGCAAAATGCTATGGAAATATTTATCGGCTTAACTGTGGCAGCACAAGTAAATTGTCTTTTTTATTCCAAACCTATTTCATAAAAACTCATATCGCAAATGGTGGATACATGTAGACTTACATGCATTTGTTCAGTAAATACACTCTTAAGATAAAAGTTTTTGTTGTGATGCCAAAGAACTATTTTTTGCTTCCTCAAAAAACCCTTTAGTCAGTAGTTCTTTTAAGAACCGACTACCTTTGAAGACCATTTAAAAAAACATCTAAATGAAGATTGAGACTATTCAACAGAGACCAAAATAATACACTTTTACCAACATGACATAAGCAACTAATATTGTAGAAAACAACAGTGAATTATTGCACATAATCATTTGCATAGATGAACCAAAGCATTTGCATATTTTCTGATATGCACAAGTAACACAATGATGTGAAGATTGAATGGGTAGTTTTAAGAATTTCAATTCTGATATCAGAACTGTACAAAAGTGACTTACAGTAAAACTGTTAGAAGACATCCCTTGGTGTTATCCCTTGGCATACAACTACTTTACCATAAAATTAGATCAGGACAAGTTTGTAGGACACTTTAATCAGATTAATTTTGTATTCTCTTATATATATATATATATATATATATATATATATATATATATATATATATATATATATATATATATATATATATATATATATATATATATATATATAAACTAGACCTATGTGATTTTTTTATATCTTCATATATTTTCTCTTTTTTAGCCTACTTGCTTAAGCATGAATTATGAATTTCCTTTTAAATGTTGCATGTTCTGTAAAAAAAGTCGTTTTATCATTACACAATTTATTCAAGTCAATTGATGTTTTGTTTGTCTGCTTGTTTGCAGCTATGGTTGTTTTAAACAACAGTGAGATTATCCGTGAGGCTCTAGTTAAGAAATGGTCTGACTTTGCTGGGAGGCCTCATTCATACACCGGTATTTCCAACTGGCATATTTTTTTCAAGAATGTCTACATTATTTATGTGTATATTATTATATCTGTTTCTTGTTCCTTAATCCTAGGTGATATAGTGTCTAGAGGAGGACGAACCATTTCTTTGGGTGATTTCAGTGAGGAATGGAAAGCTCATAGACGTGTCACCCACAGTGCTCTGCAGCGCTGCACCACTGACTCCCTGCACTCTGTCATAGAAAAGCAAGCACAACATCTCTGTCAGGTAAAGGACACACACTGACTAACACAGATACATCCTTCATTGTGACAGACATTGACTGGTGTCCAGGTCACAGGCTCAAGGACAGTAGAAAGAAAATAAATAAAGAGAGAACAGGAACAAGGATATTTAAGCATGATCATAGTCAAAATATAAAAATTATAATACATATTAAATAAAATGCTAAAGAGTACACAAGTTTTGTTTCAGCAAAATGTTTACTACTAAATAAATTGAAAAAAAAAAAAAACTTATTAATAACCAGTGCTATCTCACAGCAATTCATAACCATAATTTTGTGACTAATTCATACTGTATGAATTCATACAATCTCATTCGTACAATTTAGTAGGATTTGCTTATCCCCCAATGACAGTTGGGTTTAGGGTTGGGGTTGGGTGCCATGCCTCTTTTTAAAAATTTTACATTTTTGTATGATTAAACTTAGACAAATGATTTAATTATTTAACTCGTACAAATTAGCCACTAAGTGAAGTTTATTTATAAACTAATTTCAAGAGGATCATGTGCTTATGATTGTTCATGGCTGGTCCCTCATTAGTTAATGCTCAATTTACCAATCGATTCCACAATTCCTAACTCATTAAAAATAACCAGAGATTCTTATCTCAGTATCTTTGTCTTGAAAAATACACCCACCCACTCCTACTCCCCCTCCTTTCTGGATGGGTCACATGGCAGCACCTGTGAGTAGCACTGTTGCCTCATAGCAAGAATATCTCTGGTAAAAGTCCTTACTAAACCAGTTCACCTTTTTGTGCAGAATTTGCTCGTTCTTCTCATGCTCGCTTGGGTTTTCCCTGGGGTGTCCAGTTTCCTCCTACAGTCCAAAAAACACGCAACCTAGTAAATTGAACATACCAAAACGGCATCATAGTCAAGCTCTACGTAAGCCGTATATCTCCTTAGCCATCTTATATTTGCCTTTAGCCAGAAATAAATCAGGGGAGTTTATTGAGATCTACCTGTACTCAAACCCCCATCTCACCTTGCTAACCGGAAGGAGCCCAAGGCTCAAGGACTTTGTAAGCTCTCTTCTGAGACAGCATGCCAAACAGACTTATTACCAATCATCAGCAAAGTGTGAACTCTTGAAACTGGCAAAATGTAAAATATATTTCCATACATTTCCTTGTGAGATCAGGGCATCAGGCTGTAATAACAACTCATTTTAAATATTATTAAAAGCAATAATGTGCTTTAGGTTAAACAATATTAATAAAAAAAGCCATTCATGGAAAACAGAACACAAATGAATAAATCAATTGATACAGACAGACAGACAGACAGACAGAAAGACAGACAGACAGACAGACAGACAGACAGACAGACAGACAGACAGACAGATAGATAGATGATAGATAGATAGATAGATAGATAGATAGATAGATAGATAGATAGATAGATAGATAGATAGATAGATAGATAGATAGATAGATAGATAGATAGATAGATAGATAGATAGATAGATAGATAGATAGATAGAACAAAAGAGATTGATTAAACAAACACGTTACCTGAGTGAACAAACAAATGATCAAAAGAAATAAAGAATAACATATTGAAAGACAGACAGACAGCAGACAGACAGACAGAAAAGTTTTTGCTTCCTGCTTTTAAACAGGTGTTACGAGACTACAGTGGAAAGGCTGTGGATTTATCGGAGGACTTTACTGTGGCTTCGAGTAATGTCATCACAACTCTGACCTTCAGCAAAGCTGTAAATCTTTAAAGCTATTCATCACAATTTACAAAAGTGTTCTCAGTTTTACTCACTGTCAGACTTTCGTTATCTTATTGTGACAGTATGATAAAAGTTCAGCAGAGCTGCAGAAGCTGCAGGAGTGTTTGAATGAGATTGTTTCTCTCTGGGGTTCACCCTGGATCTCAGCCCTGGACTCCTTCCCTCTGCTCAGGGTAACATGCTTGATTTTATGTAGTATTGATAATCATTTTGATCCATACATTGTGGATGTATTTTATTTGTACTCTTTAAAAAATAATAATTCTTTGCAGAAATTTCCCAACCCCCCATTCTCTCGTCTAATGAAGGAGGTGGCCAGACGCGATGAGCTGATAGGAAAACACATAGAGGAGTTTAAGGTAAGACAAATAGTGCAAATAAGCACAGAGAGTTGTCAAAAGTTTTCAAGTAGCATCTAATCAAGTGACATGTGTGCAGAAAAGTGAGCATAAAGAAGGTGGCACACTGACTTCTTCACTCCTGAAGTGTCTTGAACCACAACAAGGGGCAGCCAATCACACGGTGAGCAGTTTTTTTTTTGTTTGTTTGTTTTTTTTTTGGATTAAACAACTTTTTGACTAAAGTTTTCAAAAGTAAAGACACAAAATGCTATAAAACATTAATGAATTAATTTGGCATATACTAGTCCATGGAGGCACGGTGGCTCAGTGGTTAGTACTGTCGCCCCACAGCAAGAAGGTAGCTAGTTCCGGGTGGATCGGAATATTTTCTCTGTGGCAACCTCTGACAAATCAGAGACCAAGCCGAAGTTAAATGAATAAATGAAATCCCGTCCTATCAATCAGGTCAATCAGGATCAAGTTCCTCATCAAGATTTAATTTATGCTCAGGGGTGTATTCCAGAAAGCAAGTTTAACTAACCTGTACAATAATCCTGAACTCTGCATAGTCTGTTCCCCTTCGGTTGGGGAACTTCAGTGCTATAAGTGGATTTGATCTTTGTGAAAATCCACGAAATGGGAGGATTCGGTTCAGAAGCCGCTTGTCTGAAAGAGTATTGAACGGGCCAATGAATGCAATGAATTGGCAGCGTAAGCTTGCACAGGTGAGCTTCATTGAAAATTATCCCAGCATATAAGCACACCTGGAGCGAGCAAACGCCATCCTTTTTGCTTCAGAGACTTTCTGATCGAGTCGATGAGGGTTCCTCCTGCTGTGACCAGCAATTCTGAGCGAACGAGAGCATTCTCCCGGTCCAGAGTGTGTACACGCAGCGGCAGACGGTCGAGCTGGGTTTCACCCTTGCCTGGCGTTCTTTGGGTCCGGTCCTCCAGAGCAGTGCGTATAAAGTTGCAAACTTCACAGAAAGAGCAACACAGTCGTGCAGCACGTCCTTTTCAGGACGGCGCTCCACTGTGCGTTTCTGGATGTGGTGGTTTCCTGTCCTCGGATGATGGGCGCGGGCACTGCGTTACATGCCTGGGGGGTCCAGCATGTTAATGCGCTGCTCGCAGGCAGTTCATGTCGTCATTGCGATGCCATGACTGTTGCGCAGCAAAGATCGCGGCTAGCCTTTGCAAAAGGGTGAACCACCCCAGTTGTCCCCTGCTCTGCAGCGGGCACTCGGGCAGATCTGAGGGTTTCAGCGAGAGATAATCCGTCGCCCTTGGGCCCGCGGACCTCCCGCTCCTCTAAGCGCTCCATCCAAGCTTCGGGCGGGGGAAGCGATCCGTCTAACAGATGGTAGCCCTTACGCCCGATGACACCAGAGACCAGACGTCCACCGCGGCATCGGAGGGTGGGCTTTCATTGTCCGATGATGATCCAGACCCGCTCGTCCCCTCCGGGCAGGTGAGCGCTGTCACTACGGATCTTGAAACGGACATGTTAGCCGTGCTTTCCCGGGCTGCTTCGGCCGTGGGTTGGAGATAATTTATCCCCCAGCTCCGCGGCCGGACCGACTAGAGGGGCATTCCCTTCTTCCCAGAGGTGCACAGTAGGCTCACGCGGTCTTGAAAAGCACTTTTTTTTCTGCTCGTGCTGCGTGTCCCTCCACCCTCACCACTCTTGACGGTGGAACAGCCAGGGGTATGTGGTGATTCCTCAGGTTGAGTACGCGATGGCGGTCAATTCGCGCGGCGCCTCTTCTTGGCGGGGTCCGCCTCGTCTCCCATCCAAAGCCTGTAAGTTATCTACCTCCCTCGGAGCTAGAGCTTACATAGCTGCGGGCCAGGCTGCTTCCGCCTTGCATGCGATAGCCACCTCACCTCACATCTGCGCGTTTTTGAACCGCTGTCTGCACAGGCTGCCGTTCAGAATGCTCACGCAGAAGCGCATCCTCCGGTGCGTTCGTCCTCTGGGTTGGTCTGCAGCATTAGACCTGATGGACGTGTATTTCCATGTCTCCACTGTTCCTCGCCAACGTCAGTTTCTGCGGTTTGCGTTTGAAGGTCGAGCTTGGCAATACAAAGCCCTCCCCTTCGGGCTCTCTCTGTCTCCGCGGGTCCTCACCAAGCCCGCGGAGGGTGCCACTCCCTTAGCCCTTGGAGCGACCCCTCGGGGAACGAAGGGTTACTTCTGTAACCTCGAACGTTCTGCTTTATTAAAGAATATTTGGTGTAATGGTGCTGTGATCCAGTCTACTTTTGGTCTCAGAATGTGGTATTAAGGCAAAATTCTAGTCCATAAAGCAGTGAGTATTTTGAGTTCAAAATAAATGTAAAGGCTTATGGACACCAGAGTGCTTTTTGCTCGCATTTTCCATCGACGTTTAACACTAACGATGTTTGACTAAATAAAGGGCGCCAATGTGATTGTGCACATCAACGTGCAAAACGACAGGTGTAAAAGTGTCATTTTTAAAGAAACACGTGCAGTTTGAAGAAGATGTCTAGAGGTATTATGAATGAGGAGCTTCTTATTGCTCTGGTGAACAATAATCATTTCTTCATCGCTAGAGCTGGAGTTGCTACTTGAACCATCAATGTGTGTTCGAATCGCCAGTAACTTTAACAACAAGCATGTTAACTTTCTGTATTCTTCTTCTGTGTTAAAAGCAGGTGTCAGAAGCTTAATGTTGTGTAGCGCCGTCTAACGTCAAGGAATTGATTTTGCATACTCTTCTGCTCGACGCCAGTAAAAATCGCTTGTGTTTGAATCTGGAAAAATGTATCGGAAAAAAGCTGATGATAAACACAAACGAAAAGCATCTCGATGTGTACGGGCCTCAATGTGTTGTCTTCTATACAGACTCTGACAGACACTCATGTGCATATGACCACGGTGGATCTGCTGATTGGAGGGACAGAAACTATTGCTGCCTTGCTTAACTGGACTGTGGCCTTCCTTTTACACAGGCCAGAGGTAACTTAATATATTCCTAAGTACCATCTACTAGCAAGGGTGTCCAGTCTTAGTACAGGATGGTCAGCATCCTGCAGAGTTGTAGTTCCTAGAAGGCCCATCTATACGTGTTTGTAGAGTTGCAATGTCTACAATGTACAGTATTTGTGTCTGTTGAGTCTACAATTTAAGTTTTGACAAGCTGTAAAAATTTCATGCTGAACAAAACTTTTTTGTTGTTTTTTTCCTAATTGGCCTGTTTTTCATTAAGATTTTACACTGACATGATTTACATAAGGCTCACAATACATAATTTCTATGCACTGAATCCTTATTTTTCAGCTATGCCTAGGAGTAAGCCAACCCAGGCTCATTAGAAATATATGCCCAGGGCTAAATAGATGACTTTTGTTCCTTTTCACACTACTGATGTTTACAGGAACATACTACTGATAAATAAAGGGTTGTTTTTATATGGTTCTTTATGGAACAATGTGTATGTGATCCATAATCGAACGTGTTTGCACATGAACAGCTTTTCTAGAGTGGTCAGCTTGCTTGGTAACTCACCTCTTGTGGTGTTATACTTTTTTTTTTTTTCGAATCAGGTGAAGCATGGTTCCAAAAGCAAAAAAATAAAAATAAATATAAAATAAAAAAATTATCCTGGGCATATTTTTTTCTGTGAGTCTGTTTTTAATATCCAGAATTCATTTTTTACCCCCAGGTTCTGCTGGTGGCAATTCCAGAATTTACATTGCCAATTGTTCATTGTAATTGTTTGTTTTGGTTACATTTTGAAAATCCCCAACCATTGCAGAGCTTGGGGGACCAGAGTAAGTGCTTCAGCTTGGCCTCACCTGGTCCAAGGCTGTGAATTCTTAGGGGTATATTTAGATAGTATGATAAGTTCCTGATTATCTTGGTTCAACTGTGTTTATGACTTAAAGAAACTATGAAAAGAATTAGGCACCCTGACTTTAAAAAAAAAACTGTTCAAACATTCAGCTCAAACTAAGAATATCACATGCCCATTCTCTCTTCAATCAGGTTCAGGATAAAGTGTATGAGGAGCTGTGCTGTATGCTGGATGTGCGGCACCCTCAGTACAGTGACCGACACAAACTGCCATATCTGTGTGCTCTGATCAGTGAGATGTTACGACTGCGACCTGTAGCTCCCCTCGCCGTACCACACAGAGCCATACGAAACAGCAGGTGAGCATCAAGTGAAATTACAGTGCTGTGATTACTCATAATTGGAATCAGTTTAGCTCATCATTGATGCTAAGTTAAGTGTTAATAATAAAGTTAGATAATAATAAAGCCTATACGAGAGTTTGTACATCCAACAATTCATTTTGGTTTTCATCTTTATACTGGCAATTATTCAAATTTTTGGAATAGAATTAGAAATTAAAAAAAGATTTACTTCCTGAAGACAACTAATTTATCGATTTAACCAGTGTTTTCCAATCTCTCAAACACTTAAGCCCAATCTAAATTCTATTTATGTCCTTACATCTTTCCTTTGAAAGGGTTAGGGATGATAATATTTCCCTAATAAGGCCCTGCTACAATATATCCACACATGTCATTCAATGTCATAACTAGCTCATATGTCATATGAGATGTCATCTGCTGTAATCATTCCAGAAGGTACAAATGTGTTTGACAGACAACAAAGCATTGTTTGTTTTCAAATCAAAAACCAATGAGTGGAAGGACTAAGGGTTAGAAATTGGGTTTGGCAAAAGTACTTGGTTAACACAACATGGGGTAACGTTCTTCTGTATTTTTGTTGTGACTTGGTAACGTGGGAGGAAATTTGATTAGTGCAGAATCATTTACTTGATCTCAAACATTTTCACCTTGTCGCACACCTAGAGTTCTAAACTTCAACAATGAAAATGACATTTTAAAATATTATTTATCTGGTAACTATTAATGTATCTTTGTTACCACGACTGGGGTGGAGTGACAGGAGACAACAGGAGGTAAGATTCAATATGCAGTTTATTCAATGTCAGGCAAGCAATGGTCAAATCAGGTGCAGACAGGTATGTGAAGGCAGTCCAGAATCGTCGTCAATATAACATGCAATAGGTCTAAAGGCAGGCGGCTAAACAGGATAACAAGGAAAGCAAAGCTAGGGTCTAAACACGGATAAATAAGACAGGGAGAAACGCTTCGTAATGTCACACAGGGAAAACAAGACTCGGCAAACTGGAAGCGAGAATGAGTGGCTTATGAATGGAATGAAATCAGTCTGTGAACGAGGCTCAGCTGGTGATGCAATCAGGATAGATGAATGAACAGACGTGCGTGTTTGGGAGCAGTGCATGTATGAATGTGTAGTCCAGGGAAAAGCGGAAATGTAGTTTAGAGAGTTCGTGTGAAAACCAGCGATCCTCTGGGAAGCGATCACTGGTTGTGTGACAATCTTAATGAAGCACTAGTGAAATAATGGAAATATTTTATAGTTATTATTTGGAGACTATTATCAATATTATTTTTTTACCAAATAAAGCTGTCGCACAATATCAGTGTCATTTTCCCCACAACACATTAATGTCGCTTTAAAAAGTTTGTGTAATAGATTATTCAGGTGGTTTCTATGAAAATGAATAATGCCATCTGAGAACAGGTTCATTAAAATTTAAATTTTTAATTTAAATTTTAGAAATTAAAATTTTTATCAACAACACATGAAGAAAAATCAAGATTAATATTGCTTGATAAGAAAATACATTTGTTCTATGTCATTTCCAAACATGCTGTACCTTCAAAGATATTTTTAAAAACCAAACAAAATTAAGGTAAATAACTGTATTTTGTATAAATGAAATGGCTAGTATCAATTCAAAGCTAATAGATGAAGCTATTTGAAATTTTTTCACAATAAACTGTAGAAATGTAATTTCCACCGCTGAAATTTCCATCACCAAACACATTTTTAAAAAATATTTAAAAAGTTCTCATCACACAAAGAGGGCTCTATTTTGACGATCCATGCGCTAAGTGCAAAGCGCAAAGCGCAGGGCATAGGGCGCAAATTCATCAAGGGCGTGTCAATCTACTTTTGCTATTTTAAGGACGGAAGAATCCACTTTGCGCCGTGGCGCATGGTCTTACAGGGTTGAACTTGTTCTTTTATAGTTATAGGTGTGTTTTGAGAATAAATCAATCAGAGTCTCATCCCCCATTCCCTTTAAGAGTCAGTTGTGTTGCGTCATGGCGCATTTGCTATTTACATGGCGGACTTTGTTAGTGGAAAATCTGAGCACTCCACTAGCGAGAAAACAGTTAAACAGAGCATCTACAGAGATAGAATGAGAGATTTCTCATGAGATCACTTTCACAGACATCCATTAGCCGATACATAATTAATTATGTTTGTTAAGCGCAAAGGTTTGTTTCAAAACTATTTCTAAATTCAGTTAGATTCTCCAGCAAATTAATAAATAAAAAATAATAATAAATTATTATTTAAATTCTTTTTCATTTTTTAAAGATTTTTGCGTATTGGACCGCGTATTGCTGTCCTGTCTTTGTGCAATGTGTAAGTTGAAGAATGGCCCATATAAGCCCCTCTTCTTCCCTCAGTCATATTTTATAGAAGTATCTTTATAGGGGGTTCAAACTTGGAGCTCAATTTCCATTATCTATATCTATGGTTTATTCACCCTAAATACTGAATCAGAAACACGAGATGGAATGCCTTTTTTTTTCTTTGAGAAAAAAATTAAGCTCTCAAGCTCACTTGAGGTTGTTTTTGGTTTGTGTTTAAAGACTTTGAACGATGATCTTGTCTTTCTGGTTAACAAGTTAACATTTATAACATATATATATACAATTAAAGAGAGAAGTTTTTTTTAACACATTTCTAAACATAATAGTTTTAATAACACCTTTTCTAATAACCGATTTATTTTATCTTAGCCATAATGACCGTAAATAATATTTGACTACATATTGTCCAAGACACTTCTATACAGCTTAAAGTGACATTTAAAGGCTTAACTAGGTTAATTAGTTAACAGGTTAAGGTAATTAGGCAAGTTATTCTTTAACAATAGTTTGTTATGCAGACTATCAATAAAAAATATATTAAAGGGGCTAATGCTTTACCTTAAAATGTTTATTAAAAAATGTAAAACTGCTTTTATTCTAGCCGAAATAAAACAAATAAGACTTTCTCTAGAAGAAAAAAATATTATTACACATACTGTAAAACTTTCCTCGCTCTTTTTAAAATCATTTGGGAAATATTTAAAAGAGAAAGAAAAACTCAAAGAGTGGCTAATAATTCGGACTTCAACTGTATGTATGTATATATCTATATATATATCTATACACACACACACACACACACACACACACACACACACACACACACACACACACAGAGCGTGTTAAGTAAGCCACTTCTTTAAATGATAAATGACCACAGATAAATGTAATGTTGTTTTGTTGAATAATACAATTAATTTGCTAAATATAATTGTAATGAAAAAAACTTCTCTGAATTGATTTATACAGAGCTGTGGAATTTATTTACAGTATTAAAAAGTAAATACATTTAGATTGCAGTACCTGAAAATTAAATTAATGTTTTTTTCCATTGGAAAAATAATTTAATTTCAATACATACTTTGTAACAAATTACACCCAAAACTGGTTTCAAACTAATAAAAATGTCTATAAAAGATTCTTTGTTCAACTTATCAACATCAAGAATCGTCAGATCAAAAATCAAACTCCCATAATGCAATTCAAAAGCATTAATTAACTTAACAAAAACAGTAAATCATAAATTTGTGAAACAGTTAATTAATCGTTGTTGGGGTTTTTATTACATATACAGTGTTTTTGCCTCTGCTTTTTATGCATGATGTCTCAACATTGAAGCTTTACAACATTGCTCACTTGGTTATTTACGCAACGGTAAATTTACAAATTTCTGCTTAGCATTGCAGGGCATTTCATTCCCAAGAATACAATTATCATCCCTAATCTTTACGGAGCTCACCATGATCCAGAAGTCTGGGATGATCCATATAGCTTCAAACCAGGTAGGCCTACAAAGCATGTTGTCTGACTTTCAGTTTGGTTGTTTGCATGCATATCACAGTGCTCATTAACTGCGACAGTCAATCTGATTTATTGCAGAACGCTTTTTGGAAGGTGGTGGCGGGTCCCTTCGTTCTCTGATACCTTTTGGAGGAGGCGCACGACTGTGTTTGGGAGAGGCGGTAGCCAAAATGGAGATGTTTCTCTTCACGGCATATCTCCTGCGAGAGTTCAAGTTCCTGCCTGCCAGTAAAGAAGAGCCACTGCCTGAACTGCGAGGTGTCGCCAGCGTGGTTCTTAAAGTTAAACCATATACAGTTATAGCACACCCCAGAGAACAGTAGATGCTTATGAGGAGTAAGTTGCAGTTGTCTGGCTAGGTTTATGGATAATATTAGTTGAATGTTTATTCTGCAGTGTAAAATACATCAGTAGTATGTACAGTAACTCATCATTTTTCAATGTAGTCTCATGGCATATCTTAACTTTTTTTGTATTCAGATCTCATTTATAGATTTAATACAACTCATGTATTCATGAACTACTGACGGTTGGTTTTAGAGGTAGGGTTTAGGGGTACAACTCCTAATGAAATTGTTTGAATTTGTATGAAGTGTTGCATGCAAAACTGTTGCAAACAATTTATTTTTGTTGAATTAAAACAAACAAATTAAATTGAATAATGTTCAACTTAATTTGTTTTACTAAATTCAACACAAATTGTTTACAACTAATTAACGTAAAAAAACTGAGTAAATCCAAGGAATCATCTTTGAATAATTTTTTTTTTCAGTGTACATAAAATAGTTTAGTTTCCATGTGAGATTGAGCTGATTTTTTCTTGCGTCTTGAAAAAGGTTGATAACAAGTAGCTACATGAGACTACAGAAGTTAAAAACAAGACAAGCTATCTACTGGTGAGTTTACTTTTAAGACTTTAATTGTTGCTTATACCCATAATCTTGCAAAATATTCAAACTCAGACTCTGAATGGAGATTGAAAATGTTGTCTGAAATGCTGGCCATGTTGAAGTTAAGGTGTAGTTCATTTATAGCTCAAATATAGCGCTTTACGAATTTGGCTAAACACTGTACTGCTTTTGTCATAGACAGAGACCATCATAATTTAGGATTTTTGGGGGGTAAATTAACAACAAGTAATAACACTGGGCTATAATTCACTGATGTTATTTTATTGTCTGTAATGAGAATTTAATTTTTGGAGAAAATGCTATAATTAGACTGTGGAGTATATAGTAGTAAAGAAATTCTTTGTAGGATTTTCTTTGTGTTGGTGTTGGTGGGGGGAGGGGTGGGGGGCTGAAACTGAATTGTAAAAAACCTCAGTATCTATTAAATTCTTTGATTGAAATGTTTTTCATTCATTCTATTGGCTTAATCACTTTATTTATCAGAGGTCGCCACAGCGGAATGAACCACCAACTGATCCAGCATATGTTTTATGCAGCAGAAGCCCTTCCAGCCGAAACCCAGCACTAAGAAACAATCACGCATTCACACACATACACCATGGCCAATTTAGCTTATTCAATTCACTTACAGCACATGTCTTTGGATTGTGGGAGAAACCAGAGCACCTGGAGGAAACCCACATGAAGATGGGGAGCACAGGAAAACTTCACACAGAAATGCCAACTGACCCAGCTGGGGCTAGAACCAGCAACCTATTTTTGTGAGGTGACAGTGCTAACCTCTGAGCCACTGTGCCAAAAAAGCGTGAAGTTATTACCTGTCACTTTAGTATTGATTGAATGATTTTTTTTAAATAAATATCAAAATGAGAAATAAAAATAAAACATAAAATTTGAATCAAACCTGCAAAAATCCCATTACAGCTGCCAAGATTGCACAGTCGAGACCTCTTAGAATTTAATTGAAAATATTAGAATTTGCCAATTGTCCTCAGTAGGGTCCACTGACAATAATAATAAAAACACACAGCGCATTCATCAAGTTAAAAACCTGCATGCAGAATTCTGTAAAAAAAAATAATTAAATCCTATATGCCCACAGGCAAACAGCAAAAATTTGGTAGAATACTAAATATGCAGAAGATAAATTTGCACTAGTTATAAAAATCTAATTATGGTAGCATTTAAAACTCAGTGACCATACAATTATACATCCCTGCCATACCAAGAGCTGAGCAATGAGAGCAATATATAATCCACAGCTTGAGACCTGATGTTTTGAACCAGGACAACATTGTCAAACTGTCACTGCATGAAATTGTGAAATTTTGAGTTCACAATTGAAAAGATGATGATACATGCATATTTATACTTAGTTGCTCTGTTAAAATAGTTGGGTTAAAAATACCCCAACATATAACCCAACTATAGGTTATTATAGCACCTTCCCAACTATGGGTTATTTTGACCCAATGCATTGGTTTATTTTGATTAAATTTTATTATTATAATTTTTTAACATTTTTTCCATTCTGGTATTATTATTGCTACTAAATATTGAAAATGCTTTATTTCCATTTTAGTTCCAGAAACTTCTGTTAAAATATATCAAGAATCACAAACAACGAAGAACAAAGTGCAGACAGTTACAAACTGTGCAAGCAGAAAATCATGTGCAGAATATGGAGCTCTGTGTGCTGTAGAGGCTGTCCAGCAGCTGCAACAGGCTTCACTCTACAATACAGTTTAACCACATCCAAATGCTTCGAAAAGATGGTCTTGGATGGTAAAACGGATATAAAAACCACGACAGGCAATTTGTTAAAAAAATAGCAACAAAATTATTGCGTTATAGCTTAAATCAACTTTATAATGCAAAAACAACATTGTGCAAGCTTTATACGGCTGTTTTGTGTCAGTTAAATCAGTTAATTGTTGAAATTAAAATTTTTAACCCGACTGGTTGAGTTTTTAAAAAAATACCCAAATAAAGGTTAAAAATAACCCAACAAAGCACCTAATATGTTTAACTCAACCATTGGGTTAAATAAATAACTCAACGTTTTTTAGAGTGTGGTCAAGATACGTCTTTGAAAAATGTAATAAAAATTGTCTTGAATATGTTCATCTCTGTTTTATTACAGTACTATTGTTATGTTAAGTGATTAAATTCTAATTGCTTCTACTTGTGAATCTGATATTGTATAAGCTAATTAGATCAGTTTCAAATACTGTCTTGTTCTTCACTTTGTTTAACAATACTGTAATTTTTTAGCAATAAACGCATAAAATATTTGTCATGCCAGTGCCAAAGCGCTTACACTGGAAACTGTGAAAAAGAGATAGTTTTATATAAGTATACTAACAAGTGTAGGCTACATCATTCTCATTTATCAAAATATTGGTCACCAGTCTGTAACCTTTGGTGCTGTTCCTCTCTCGTCCTCTAGAGGGCAGAACACACTCCACCACCAGCTAAACGCAGATCTGCACACACTTCCTGTGATTGCTCGAGTTGTTGATAAACAGCGAGCACATGCTGGAAACTGTTTCTGGCATTTTGTCTTTGAACAGATCGACTGATACTTGTATTTAACTCCTAAACCAGTAGTGTGACGATCTGTAGTCTGCCATGTTTCTGCAATTACACGCTGAACAATGAGACTTCTCTGCTCAGGTAGGGCGTGACAGTCCTGTCCGCTACAGTTAGTGCAGCTTCCAGACAAACTACGTTAGTAGCTTAGTTTGTGGTAGCGTCTGTTTATGTTCATATAAAGCACGTGCTCTCTTTTATTTTTCATGGGTGTTTTACTTAAAAGTTTGTTGAAATAATTGCAGACATGTTTTATTCTTTTATTGCAATGTGTGTTTTGATAACGCTTATGCGTTAGTCAGTGTATTTACTAAAATGTTAAAACAATGAACAATACATTTATTGGATTATTTATTCATCATTCTTTGCGCTAGTTAGTGGAAATAAAGTTGTTATTGTTAGTTCTTGCATTAACCAATGTTAACAAGCACACCTTTTGATTTAGTAATGCATTATAATTAATGTCATAGTTGTAGAAATATTGTTCTTCATTAAGTCATTTGGTACTAAATAAACTGTGACCTGCATGGTAATACTGTGTGTTAAATATGTTGTTATATGCGTAATATTATGTTTGGATCAATGCACATTTTGTTTACTGATTCAACAATCTGTTTTATGTATTTAGGACACTGATGGATTTTATAAAAGAGTTTACTACAGCTGTGACGCACATCATTTTGTCTGTCTCATCACTCAATGCTGCTTATTGGCTGTTCAAGGTAAATATAATTTCAATGTCTGTAATGCATTACAAATAGCACAGAACAGCAAAAGAAACAAAACAGGGGGGAACTTAGGAAAGGAAAGGTCTGTTTTACGCTTATTTTTAAAACAATTGTGTTTAATAGAAGGATTTTTGCTGAAACGTTTAACACCAAAAGTATAGTTCACCTCAAACTGAAAATTGTGTCATCATTTGAGTTGAATATGATACATGCATATGACGTACAGTTTGTCCAAACAAGTTCAGGTCTAAAATGTAGTAGTTAAAATGTAGTAGTATCATTATTATTAAATATCTGCTGAAAAATCTGTGGCTTGTTTTTCTTACTGCATCTTTCTGATAGAATTATCTGTTAATATTGTAGTGGGGTAATGTAGTCTTTCACTACAGATTCCACAATTATGAAAAAAAGTAAAACCTGGAAAATATGCTTTGAAATAGGGCTGCACGATTAAGCAAAATCTTGATTCGACCCTACACACGATCTTAATTAAGCTTTTCTACGATTCACCCAATTATATTTTCAAGGTCAGAAGGAAGCATAAAGGCAGTCGCACAAGTCTTCACATTGCTTTATATACCTTGCTCAGCTACATGGACACCTCCAAATGATGTTAAAAGTGTCACATACAGTATTTATAAGGTGTAATTCACCCAAAAAGTAATTTCTGTCTGAATGTAATGATGTATTCACGGCTGCGAAATCACATGTGAGCTGACGCACTGTTTGTTTACTACAGAGAGGACGCACACATGCCTGCTAATGATGACTTTAGTAAACAGAACATGCATATGCTGTCAATAACCGGTAATAAAGTTTTAAATAACATTCAGTTTGTTGCACAGAGCGATCATTTGAGAGTCGCGTGGGAATTATGATTTGCATGTAAGTTTTTTTTTTTTCCACAGAGTGACAGCAGCCATGACATGAAACGCACTTGGCAGTAAAAGTAAAACCGGTGTGCAAATCAAATATTTAAGTGATCATATTGTGTTTTTAGAGTTATGATTATGATGTTTTAGTGTAATGATTTTTAGTGAAAACATATGGAAGTATATCTCGGATAATTTTTTAATGCAATATGATTTGCAGTTGCATTTTCCATATATGGACTTCAATTTTGGCCCGTTTCCACTGAGTGGTACGGTACGGTTCAGTACACTTATGGCCGTTTCCACTGTCAAAAGGCCGAAGAACCTAACCGTACTGTACCACTTTTTCGGCACCCATTACAAAGGGTACCTAGGGTACCAAAAGGCGGAGCTAGACGCTGAACGCTATTGGTTTACAGAGAAATGCCATTCGCTCACGCACCAAGCCAAAATAAAAACAAAGGAACTGCCATGTTCTAAATACCAACCGATACATTACACCGTAATATTATATTCATATAATAACGAGCCATGGTTTACCCGAGCTCAAACCTTGTCATTGTCTTGATTAACATTAACAAAGCCAAGAAGAACAAAATCTGCTCTGCCCTTTTTTTGTTTTACGAGCCCGTCGAAAAGTGCGAGTGGTTTCACTTTGTCCAGAGAGCTCGCAATCTTGTCTATATTTGAAATAACAAACTTTTTGAGCTCATGTTAATAACCTGCTTGTGATCATTGAATCGCTTTATATCCATTCCTGTCAGGAAGGAGCAAACACGAGAGTGAAGTGCAAAAAAAACAAAGGAGAAGCCAAAAAAAACAGCAGCAAATGATGCGTCTGCAACCTAAAACATGAATAAACTGCCATGTTTAACTATTAATATCACCTTTTGGACTATTATGAACTCATAATGACAGAATTACTTACTAAGAGGCTACACGTGCTGATGAAGATTAAAGACAAATGAGAGGTTTGCACTGTCTGTGGTCAATGTTGTGTGTTGTTTTTTAACCTAAATAAGGACTAAATGTATGGTGTGTGTAGTTATTCTGTAATTGGTAATATATCGGAGACTGTAAGGGTCTGTATGTGTTCAATTATTTAATTATTTATTTTATATAATTGCAGACGTTACAGTAGGCTATTTCGCACTGTCATTGATCTGCAGTTATAATCAAATTATGTTCATAGAAAAGTTAGTAATAAACCTTTATACAAAAGTATTTATGTGTATAAAGCATCTGTTTTGTGAGAAGTGCTTCTCATGATATGTGAACGACCCGTACAGCTTTACTGTAATCATTTCCTTGAGCGAAAATGACGTCGTACACCATGCCCACCAAAAGAGTATCATTGATTCCCTTTTAGCAGTCGAAATGCAAGCCTGATAAAGGTGACCCGTACTGAATCATATCGTACTGTACCACTCAGTGGAAAAGAGCCATTTGAAGCACAGACAGCATGACCGTCCTTCTCGGAACCGCAGGTGGCATGATTTGCTCAGGTACTTCAAGCAGCCGAGCAAGCTGGAGACTCGAGTTACCACATCACGTAGTACTGGATAATTTCTAGTGGTATTTCCACCAAAGGACGTCATGGTCTGTCCTTCATAAAAAAACCTGCGGGTAACTTCAATTTGGTTAGTGAAGACCAGCACTGATTGTGCTGTTTGATAAAGCTACAAACTCCTTTAATGTGTCCAAAATTAAATGGATACTAAGTAAAAGGAAATCTGTATTGCATGAGCTGTCATTGAGCTGCCAATGGTGGCTTAGCAAACGTAGCTACGCGCAGGGGCTCTGTCAACCTTCGAGCGAGGGAAACAGGTCAAAGTGCTAGGCATATGGATTGTGCAAATCTGACACCCCGTACCCTAAAAGTTTGGACAGGGTGGTGGAATTTTTTCCCTTTTCAAAATCAAAAACGCAAGAGGAGAAATGCCAGCGTTGATCAAGATCTGTGAGGGGCACTAAAGGTGCGGACTGCGGGGTTAAGTTGGTTTTGTTTTGATTTTCCTGACACATTCAGTGATAATTAGACGGCAATAACTCACACACATCCTACCATATAACGATCTAAGCTGTGTTTCCTACAAAAATACAAAGCAGGTTATGTTTCACAGCGGTCTTTTTGCTCTTTTTTTCGCTCAATATTATGAGCACTGCTCCGTTTAAGCCTTCGCCATTGTAGGCATACTAATAACGAATGGGTAGGTCATATCATGAGTTATTGATCTGGAAAATACGATTCTGCGAATCTGTTGCTAACTTTACTGAACTTCATATTTCCATCTGTTTCAAACTACGAATATTTGAAATTAAAAATCAACAGAACAAAACAGAGATGTGATCACAAACTGAGCACTTTTTCAGTAATTTATAAAGAGCACACAAACATACAGCTATAGGCAACTCACTGTACATTATTATGGGTCAATGATACTAATATTTGGCACAAATCTATCAGTTTCCCCTTTCTGGCTGTTCTTTCTATGAATGAAATATGTAGAAGCACTGTATATTTCCTCGTCGGTTAATAGCGCTATACTGTATTTCATTGCACAACAATTTAATTAGTTACTGTTAGATTATTTTTACATTTCAGCTCTCCTGCTGTGCATGAACTGAGCTGTTGAATAGTTAGGATATGAGGCGGCTAGGCTAAGCTAGCTTCAATTTTGATTGAATTATTCTCTAATCAGTTGCCTATTATGTTGTAAATATACCCCTGTAGTGCATACTGCAGTCCTTTTTTATCTGGCTTTCTCGGATATCTCACCTGTTCGGCAAAAATGACTAACTAAATCCCTGGGAATGTCTGACACCAGCGCATACACATTGTAAAAGACATGCCAGGCATGAAAGCTTGACAGGCGTAGAAACAGTAACTAAGAAGGGCGGAGCTTAGCGAAGGGTCATTTGCATTTGGATTATAACACAATTTATGCATCCACATATGGAGAATGTAATTGCAAATCCTATTTGCAATTGCATTTGAAAATTGCCAGGAATATACTTCCATAAACACAAAGTGCTATGCATGAAAACAGTTACTGGGTCAGTATAACTACTCTAGCCTAACATTCAATATAATGCAAGAGGGAATCTGATAATGACAAATGTTTCATTTTACCTGTGAAAATAAAAGGTCTAAAAATGTTTTCAATGACAAATGTCAGGATATGTCACAAACACAGTAATTCAACTTCAGCACTATGAATAGTTGTATTCTGATGTAATCACTTTACTGTGAAATAAAAACCAGGACATTTTTAAAGTCTGTTCATTTAAAGTCCACCATTTAAAGCCTATACAGAATTTTGCATTTTGCACCAACAGTAGACCTACACACAGGCCTAATAATATTGTTGTTGTTTACCATATGTTTAAGAATGAACAATAATAATAATAATAGGCTACTCAGATTAACCTTTATTTTACATCTACAAAATCGTGAGAAAATCTTACTTTTAAGCAAAACGAAATCATGATTCTCATTTTAGCCAGAATCGTGCAGCCCTACTTTGAAATAACAATACCATGAATTTGAAATGAGTACTACTCCATGGTAAGATTTAAGATTTTTTTTCTATTTGCAGAATCACAGAGCATCCTCATTGGGCTTCCTCCTGATCGGCTGTTCCTCCATTCTTTCATTCTTATCTCCCACTAACCATAACATCACGAATGATCTGAAATGGGCAGGTGAATCACTTGGACCTGTGTTTTTTACATTTGACCTTCTGTGGCTTAGTGACGACCACATCACAGCCCGCATCCTCCTGATTGGCTCCAGTTTTTTCATAATACTGTCTGATTGGCTGTCGTCAGATGGATTGGTCATTATGTCCCGCTGCCTGGCCTTTTCTACCCTTTCCTGTTCGCTGACAGTGTGTGCTTTTGCTGAAAATGTTGCAGGGGCAGTGGGAAGTGTTGCCCTCAGTCTCCCTTTATTAGTTTCCCCAAGGAACAGATCTGGAGCTTTGGGTTTCCTTATGTTGCCTACTGAAGGACTTCTCAGAGGGATGCTTAATGTCATAATGGCATTTGGTTGCTGGACTACCAGAAAAGCCCTTAATAAATTCCTGATTGATTTGAAAAGCTGGGACTGACTTGGGAGGGAAGAAATGGTTTCCAAATACAATAGACCATTTGTTCTCAGGTTATTAGCATATATATGCACTGCTAATGTGGATTGTTGCATGTAAAGGCCTTCTGTCATAATAAGCTAATGTTGCAGTACTGTATGTTATACTACACAAAGTAGAGTTTGCTTATAACCTATTAAATCCATTACAGTGACACTGAAGGCTAGTAAAAACCTTTAGCAATGAATAAATAGTTCAGCATCATGAACAATACAGCTCTTTGTAAAGAAAGAATGGGACTCTGTTTGGACCAGTGTTGCCATGACCGCATATTATAATTTGGTTGCCCATGGCAAATTTGCATACTACTTTAAATTCGATAGTTTCCTTAAATGTCAAATTGCAACATACAGTAACCCTGTTTATGCAGTTTTGGATTGATTATCACAAAAATAATAAATACATCCTGGGTACACTCTTAAAAATAAAGGTTGTTTATTGGTAGTTATATTTCAATGAAAAACATTAAACATTCATGGAAGGTTTCTATTACATAAAAGGTTCTTTATGGGGAATGTTTTTTTGATACAAAAATGGTCCTTGTTACATTCCCTTAATTCTGTCTAGGGGAAAACAGGTACGCAGTAGAATGTTAGTGGAGTTTGTGTGTGTGTCAGCAATGAGGTCCCATGAGGATCTTCCCAAAAGACTAAACGAAAGAAATTACGCAGAGGAATACTCACAATGCAAATTAAATAAAGAATAATCAGATATTTATTCAACGATTAAGGGAGGGTTTCAAGAGGGACTTCAAGCAAAAACAACAAACAAAAAGTTTTCAAACTGATAGAAAGGGAAGAACTAAATAATCTATCAAAGAAAAGAAAAATACATCAAAATACCCTCACTCCCTTACTAACATAAACAGGAGAAAAAACTGTTATAAACTGAAATATGGCACCCCCTCTCTACTAACCTGATGCCAAGTTAAAAAAACAAAAACAAAGTAAAGGGTCAATAATGAAGTAGGATTGAAAAATCTAAAGGAAACTCACAAAACTACATTAGATTGACAACAGCTTTAACAGAAATTAAAGGGTCATGACACCCCGCACTTTCGGTTCAGGTCTACTAGTATTTTTTCAAAAGATTCATCATGATGGGTTGTGTTGTCAGTTAGCTCACAAAATGAGACGCAAACCGCAAGGAGACGCATGACTTTACAGTTTACAAAGTTAAAATGCAAAGAAATAAACAGTAATTATATGCCCTGCTAGATTTGTTATTTGTTATTTGATATACACACAACCACAATTTATATCATTATTAAGATAATCATGTTAATTTTTCCCTCAATCCCCAGGTCTGAATGTAGACTCAGTGCAGCAGGTCTCTTTCCCTGTCTATTTTAACCATTAGCCCTGTTGGTAATCTGGAGGATTTAGGCGAACACAGCAGCACGGCAATGTGTCTAAATGTGAACGAACTCCTGATAAAAGACAACGTCTGCCATTCTCAAATTCTTTTACTGCTCTTCTGACAAAAATGCTTGCAGCACACACACAGCTTTGCTGTATCGGCCCTGATAGCATTGCGGGGAAAAACATGCAACAAACCCCATGGATCATGGAAACAAACACACACGACCCTTCATGAACGGCAAAAGAATGAAGAATAATTAAGCAGCAGGCTCTTCTCATAGGATAAGAAAACTCCGCTATAAATAATAATGAGAAACAGACGGGTCATCTTTACACTTGCAGTTTTTTACTACATCGCCAATTTTGATCCCGCCCCAAAAATTATTTTAAACCTGGAAGCTGAAATTAGCAGAAAGAAGCTCAAAATTATCCAGTTTCCCCCACAATTAATGCTAACATTGTCTTAACTGATGCTCAACACACACAAGTCTGTTAACATCTCAAAAAAAGTACTCGAGGGTTTTGTGAATCTTTAAACAAATGAAGGCTCCTAAACAACACATAATGCTTTAAAGGACAAAAAATGTAAAGCCTCACAAAAGAGCCTTCACACACACAGAACACACTAACTGCGTCCAAAACTACTCAGTAGGTACTGTATTTTAATTTAAACATACTACTTGGCCATTTGAAAAGTACGCTCTATACAGTATGAATGTGAGCAGCATGAATGGAATTTGGACGTACTACAACTATATTTTGTCATGGTCACATGACCTAGTTGCGTCTCTTCACTCCCATTCATAAATTCTCTCTAGGGGACACACTAGAGTTTAAGCTTGTGAAATTCATACAAGATGATTAGACAATTAAAAAAGTGAGCGATTGGTCCATATTTTTAATTTCTGTCCAGAGAGGGCATGTTTTGATCCTCGATTGGTATCACGCAGTCAAGTGATGCGATTTTGCAGGTCAGAGTTCACCAAGCTTAAACTTTCCAACGTAAAGTTCTGTGAAACTTGACGCACGAGCTTGCGTGTGTGTGTGTGTTAAATACCTTTTTTTAATATTTTCTTTAAAAAAGTTGAAACGTTACTTGTTCAATTCTGAATCAAAATATTAAAATACTTTCTGAAATCTGTGTATTTGTGTCAGGAGGCAAAGAAAATTAATTTTAATCTGTTCAAATAAAGCACTATCAACATTTTTCTTTTTAAACTGAAAAACGTAAAACCTAAAGACATTTTTTAAATCTTGACATTTTTTTAATCAAGCCAATGTTTTTGATTACGGCTGTGCATCTGTATTGCATTGAGTCAACATCTGGCACACAGAAACATATATTCCCACCCAAGATGATTTATGTATGTCACACATTTCTGGTGAATTTTTGTCTTTTGCTTCAGAAACTTCATTTTAATATCAGCCCATGAACTTTCAATTGGTCAAGGGATTGAGCTGGCCACTCCATTGCCTAAATCCTTTTTGCCTGAATTCAAGAGGTTGCTTACTCTTGTTTTGAGTTTTCAGTTTAGGGGATTGTAATCTTATTTTGTTAAAACTGCTCCATTGTACTTAGTAAACGATAAATACTAAAACCACACTATGAAAAACGTTCCAATATCTTGATTTTTGTGCCACCAGCCAAAATTGAGGACTAGTTCAGTATTTCTCGATGGGCACTATTTAAAACAACAACCATTTTAATCACATCTCCAAACTTTCATTAACTATGCATATTCTCACCTGCACTGTAAAAATATTTGATCAATTAGTAATGACATAGTAACTTATTAAACTAAGCTAATCATGTTCTAACTCAATTTTAGAAGTTACAGAAGCTGTTTTAAGTCTGTTTAACATAATTTAAATTCAATTAACTCACAAGGTTAATTTAATTCAGCTTAATAATTTATGGCAACCATGATTTTTTTAAAGTGTAGATTTAGTGCCAGCAGATCAACACTATGAATACAAAACTGTTGAAGTAATTCTCCTCAATAGCCATAAAGCATTTATATTTTCAGAATTATAATATTTAAAATAGGCAAAGGGAACACGATGAGGATTGGCCATTACAGTCAGCATTTAACTGGCCTGGGGCCTGAGCATAAGGCTCTTTTATTCATGCTGACTGATGATCTTCACTGGAACTTTGCAAAGGTTTAATCAATAGACAGAGCAGGGTATCAATAAAGTGTCCCATTTGTTTTAAACTAATATCAGCTATGTGAAATACCTTTACATCAAGAAACCCCTTTAACATCTCTGGTTTGTGGTGCAGGCTAAAGGAGGGGCTTTTGCTTTTTACTCCTACAACTGATTATTAAATTGATTTGCTCGTATTTTTCAAAATATACTGACTGTCAGTATTTGACCTAGATTTTTAAATCATTTTGCTTAGTGGGTATTAAAACAGATATACCTAGGCCTTTCTTTCCGCTAGCTGTAAACGAGTCATCTGGAAACACCATAGGTACCAAAGAGCAGGTACTGTACAAACAACATAGAACATACAGTAGCAGAAAACACCAACCAGGCATTTACAACAGCAAACATATATCCTCTATAGCCTGAACACCTTAGCAAAGCATTTACAGCATCTAGCAACAATATCAAAAAGCTGTATTTTTATATTATGTATATATTTTTACTCCCACGCAGCTCATTGTGATCCCTCAATTTGAAAATACCTGGTCTAGATCATTGAAGTAAACAACTTCACACTTTACAGAACACTCTTGCAAGCACATAAAATGTTTGCAACACTGTATTGAACATTCACATTTTTACTGCATTGGCTTTTTGCAATTCTAATTTATTCACAGCTTTGTGTAAATCATTCATGAACTTGTTCAATTTAGAGGACATTTTCAGGGAAAAAAAGATTTTAAAAATGTTCTAAAATTAGCTGATTTTGACAAACTATTTTTGTATGTAATGACTCAAGTAATGAAATAAGGTCTGTTAGTTTATAATGACTATTCAGCATTCACAAGTTTAGTTAATTCTGACTGGCATGACACTGTAAGTAAATAAGAATGTTATATAACAGCAAAGAGTTGTACAAAAGCAATTGATTCATGTCCAAAAGCATTTGCAATTTGTTTAAAGGAATGAGAAACCCCTACTATGATGTGCAGAGATGAGTAATTGTTTTGAGAAATGCATTAATTGTTTTGCAAATGTAAATAGTGTTGTGAGAAATGCACCAAAGCCACTGAGAAAAACTGTAACAAAGACTCCAGTGTTCAAAACATTGCATCTTGTGTTCATTTGTTCAGAAAAGTCTTGCATTTACAGCATCATTGGTTCACATAATCCTTTTCTTTCCTTAACATGGAAATACGTGCTAATCACACGCACACACACACACACACACACACACACACGCGCACACACACACACACACACACACACACACACACACACACACACACACACACACACACACAGTTTCAACAAACAATTATTAATAGTCATTAAATGTTTTGTTGTTTAAAATGTATGACACAGGTTTCACTATGGTTTATACATAGGTGTAGAGGCAACAGTACAGACAGTGCAATCACTGAACTCAATTTTTAAGTTTTTATAGTGTAATATATATATATATTCAGTGTCTTGAACTCAGATACCTGTAGTTTTCATATAGCTGTGCAAATAGTTTAGTGCTGTCTTGGGCATTTTCAGGAAGTGTCACCAAAATCTGACTTTTTTGCGTTGGAAAAAAAAAATGTACAGAGTAAACTGTCATAATGAAAACATGACAAAGCCATTTGACTATCTTTTTCAATAGTATCTGGGTGCAGCCTTTATGATGCAAGCTGAGATTGCATCATTCAGCGATGCAATGTCAGACACAATGCACTTGATGGAGTGAGTGATGTCACTGTGACGGGTAGGGTTAAGGGTGGGGTTAGGTGAGCATATTAAAAAGCATTGGATGCTGCTCAGATTGCACTGCATCCAGACCCCTCTCCTCTTGTTCATAAACAATAGTGTCAGGACTTTTCATCTTGATGGCACTGACACTTTCATTGACACGAATACTTGCTTTTGAGGAATGAACTATCCATTTTGAGCAAGTGACACGCTTTTTACAGGTTATCATCTAGGTTTTGCAGGTTGTACTAATTGTTTTGAGAAATGCGTTAACCGTTGTGCAAATGTAAATAGTGCTGTGAGAAATGCACCAAAGCCTCTGAGGAAAAACTATAAATATGGGTGTGTTTATTATTTTGCACAGTGCTGTGAATAAATTAGAATTGCCAAGAGCAAATACAGTAAAATATGAAACACATATTCAGTGTCTTGTACCCAGATACTTCACTAAATGCAGTGATGTCTAACTTTACTGTAGTTTTCATATGGCTGTGTAAAGAGTTTAGTGCTGTTTTGAGCATTTTCAAGAAGTGTCACCAAAATCTGACTTTTTTGCATTGGAATAAATGTACAGAGTAAACTCATAATAAAAACATGATAAAGCCATTTTACTATCTTGTTCATACACAATGGTGTCATGACTTTTCATCTTGATGACATTGACACTTTTATTGAAATGAACACTTGCTTTTGAGGAATGAGCTATCCATTTTGAGCTTTTGCAGGTTATCATTTAGGTTTTGCAGTTTGTACTAATTGTTTTGAGAAATGCATTAATCGTTGTGCAAATGTAAATAGTGTTGTGAGAAATGCACCAAAGCGACAGAAAAACTAAAAGTAGTGACTGTTTAGAGTTTTGTGTTTAGAGTTTTTAAAATTGGAATCAGGGTTCTGAAATTAGAGACAAAACAATTGAAAAAAACTGTAAATAATCAAACCACTAGAACACCCTGGGTCTAGCAAACACCTAGCTTTTAGCAACCAATCAGAAACCTCTAGCAAACCCATAGCCCCTATAGCAACCATCCAGAACATTCCAGCAGACATCTGTGCTGTATCTAAAATCATCCATATGCCCTCGTTGACTATTCCCTTCATTGGTCCACTATTATAGACCACTTAAAGTGACAATGACTGAGCTTTTGTAGCCTTGTTCTGTAACAAATGATTAATAATTACTGCCCACCCTGCTGAAAAAAAGAGTTTAAACCAGCCTAAGCTGTTTGACTGGTTTTGGCTGGTCGACCAGACTGGTTTTAGACAGGTTTTGGCCAATTTCAGACAGGTTTCCAGCCAATTCTTAGCTGGTCAGTCTGAAAAATGACTAGCTAAAACCATCTTGACCAGCCTGGTTTAAGCTGGACAAAGCTGGTTTTGGCTGAGCTAGTAAGCTAGTTTTAGCTAGCCATCTCCCAGTTTCCCAGATAAGACCAGGCTGGAAATGGTCAAAACCCCTTTAAAAACCAGGCTGGTCGACCAGTAAAACCAGCTCACCAGCCTGTTTTGATTTGTTTTTTTCAGCAGGGCAAAACACATTATTGACCCCCCAGAATTATTAACCACACAATAACATGCTAAAATAGTCCAGCAACCTTCCATATAACCCTAATTACCAGTTTTTGCACCTCTAAACACCATTAATCTAATTATCTAATTATTTTCACCACAATCTAAAATATCACCATCAGAGCTTGTGTTAATTTGCAGTCATGCAGTGGTAGAATCTATAAAAAAGCAAAAGTCATCCAGGCTGCTCTGCGTTATTCCAGGTTATAAAATGGACGTCACTTAGTGATATCAGAGTGTTAGTCGAGCATCTGACTTCCTGTTCTTCCTCTTTTATCAACCACCTTCAGTTTCACCTCACCACCACTGCAGTGCACAGCAGAGAGAGAGAAAGGGGGAGGAGAGAGATGATATTAGGAGAGAAGGAGGAGGAGGAGAAAAGGAAGGAGGAGGGGAAAGGAAAGCCAGGAATAGCAGGTTGGACAGATGTGCAGAATCAGAAGCTGGTGTTGCCATCCAAACCTTCAGAACACTGGCAAACAGACACAAACACTCCTGCGGCATCACCATGTAGAGCTGAAAAAGCAGAATGCGGAGACTGCAGGATCAACCTCGGATGGTAAGGCTGGAATAGCATCGTTTTGTGGAGCATGACAACAATGGGAATCCGTGCTGGATTTGCATCTGGAGTAGGGGTTTAATAACACTTGTCTGATTGTGTTTCAGAGTGAGAAGAGCAGAGGGATGCTGTGAAGCCAAAGCGTGTAATTCCAGCCGCTGTGATTGGAACATCCGCACATAAGGAAAGATGTATGTCTTCTATTCTCTGCTGGTCTACATCTTTTACACTGTCTTCAAAAAAGAAGAGGAGGAGGAGGAGGCAGCGCTCGAGGGGGCGTCTGGAGAATCCCCTGAGGTATGTGTGGCCGCAGTGACACACGCCGATGGATGTGCTAATATATGCATTGCCTGTTTTCTGCTTACAATGCATGCAAACAGATCTTGTGCCAAAACTGCGAGGAGAAAAAAAAGGCGAGATAAAGAAAAATGTTATATTTAAAAATTTTATATTTACATGTTTTAAAATTAATAATATTTTCTATTAATTATTTAAAATAATTATTGCTAAAAATAGGATGCACATATATGCATAAACCAGTCATCATCTGAATGAAACCACTCTTGTTTGTATGTTGACTATAATATTATTATACATATTGTTGACTATGATAAATATACATATATTTTTATGTAAGAATATTATAGTCAACATATAAACAAGAATGTTTTCATTCAGATGACGACTGGAATATGCATGCATGCACAGTCACGTATCACATGTCCTCACTGGTGCTTTTAACACCTTCCAATAATCACATTCATCACCCTATATAACTGACAGGAGCCTGGCCATGTTTCCATGGAAACAGTGAGCAAGGGGAAGGGTAGCCACACACCCAGGTTGGGCAAAAGGGGGTTTGCAAGACTGGCTGATTCAAGTAAGAATCTTTACATTCAGTAATGTTATTCTCTTACATGATGATTTTAAAAGCAAAATGCTTTGCATAATTTTCATATACTGTACAGTTTAAACTTGCTTTTTAATTGTAGGCAGCAGCAGTGATAGTGATGGGACGTCTGTTAGTGATGAAGAGGAGGAGTTCGACGAAGGTCATGGATTACCTGCTAAAACACCATTAACAGCTTTTCTGTCATTCAAGCAAGAGGCGGAAAAGCGAAGAGTCACTACTTCCCCTGCAGAACCAAGTGAAAAGGTGAAGACCTAAAGTACATTCACATTTGCTATATGTCTGATGGTGGTGGGGGCTTGGTGAAGTGGTAGTTTGTGAAATTTGAACAAAAACAAAAAATCAGGAGCTCTGTGCATTTTTAACTTTGAGCTTTTGCGTTTTAGAGTTTTGAAGGTTATCTCCTATCTTTGCAGTTTTGATAGGTGCACGATGTGCTATTTTCAAACGCTGCTGCAAAAAGAGAGGCTTTTTCTTGTTTCTAGTCCAAATATCTAAATCTCAGGAGGAAAAATAGTGGCGGATTATTTTGCTTGTTTTAATGAAAAACTGACCTAACTTTGACTTGTTTTTCTGGAAACAAGGCAATAATTTTATTTGATTCCTGTTGTTTTGCTTTTTTTTTTTACTTAGATTAAAAAGTTTATTATTGGATGAACTATCTGAGTAAAAAACATGTAACCACTGACATCCATACTAGGAAAAACAAATACTGTTAAAATGAATAGTTACAGGTTTCCAGCTTTCCTTAAAGTATCTTATTCTGTGTTGGTCAGGCGGGTTTGAAACAAGTAACGGGTGAGTAAATAATGACAGAATTTTGGGTAAACTATACCTTTTTTAAATACATACATTCATTCCATCATTTTCTTTTCGGCTTAGTCCCTTTATTAATCTGGGGTTGCCTAAGCGGAATGAACCGCCAACTAATCCAGCAAATGTTTTACGCAGCGGATGTCCCTCAAGCTGCAACCCATCACTGGGAAACATCCGTATACACTCGTTCACACTCATACACTAAAGACAATTAAGCTTACCTAATTTACTTATACAACATGTTTTTGGACTGGGGGAAACCGGAGCACCTGGAGGAAACCTACGCAAACACGGGGAGAACATGTAAACTCCACACAGAAATGTCAAATGACCCAGCTGGGGCTCGAACCAGCGACCTTCTTGCTGTGAGCCGATTGTGCTCTGCACTGCGCCACCGTGCTGCCCAGTGATTTTTAAATATTTGGACTTAAAATAAAACAAAACTTTTCAAAAATCCTTCAAAAAGTAAGTATTTTATTTGATTTTTTGAAGTAAATCTGGATAAAATAGATGTAGACTCGTAATAAAGGATGAACCAAAGTCAGACTTTTAAGAACCTCATTAGACCTTAGCCACAGCAGATATATTAAATATACAGTAGACATATTAAATTTTTTATGCATTAAAATGAGTCTGGAAGAGGATGTTAATGTAGTTGCTACTTACACTGGAGTACAACCTAATGAACATTTAGAACTGGAGCTTGTAGCCTTGTACCAAAATTTTTATATGGTTTCATATGATTTGTTGTGGGTGAAGCAGTGGCGCAGTATCTAGTGCTGTCCCCTCACAGCAAGAAGGTTGCTGGATCGAGCCTTGGCTCAGTTGGCGTTTTTGTGTGGAGTTTGCATGTTTTCCCTGCGTTCGCGTGGGTTTCCTCCGGGTGCTCTGGTTTTCCTCACAGTCCAAAGACATGCAGTACAGGTTAATTGGGTAAGGTAAATTATCCATATTGTATGAGTGTTTGTGTGAATGTGTGTGTGGATGTTTCCCAGAGATGGGTTACAGCTGGAAGGGCATCCGGTGCTTAAAAACTTACTAGATAAGTTGGCGGTTCATTCCGCTGTGGCAACCCCGGATTAATAAAGGGACTTAGCCGACAAGAAAATGAATGATGATTTGTTGTCTTATCTAAAAACTTGGCAGTTAGGATGAACACTTCATTACTGCACTGATCTATCAGAACCATTGATATTAAAATTAGATTAAATCAAAACATGAGTTTTTGCATCACTTTCAAACATTTTCAGTACTTAAATATTAGTTTCAAATATTTAAATATTGTTAAATATTTATGCTGGCCTGAACTTTCCGGAGCGAGCATACATGCAGCCAAGCACAGTTGCAAAAAGACACAGCTTTCCCTTTGCTATCGTTTCTTTCCTTTTTTTTCAACTATATTTTGATTCAGATTTCCGGTAATAAGATAATTATGTTGCATAAATTTATTACCCATAAATACAGTACATTTTATTTAATATTTTGTACTGTGGCTGAAAGGGCTTAATGTACTGCAATTTTAAACAACGCAAACATTTGATGAAAACGTGCTGCATTTTTTTTTTTTTTTCCTGGAATCAGGGTATTAAAATAATCAGACAAAAAACTCACCTTTCAAAGATCACTTTCAACTTCACTGAACAATTGTCACGGCACATTGGCATCCATCACATTTTTGGGTCCCCTTGAAATATTTCCATTGTGGTCCGTTCCTTTTTGTGTTGTGAGAAAATGCAGCATGTTTTTGTCAATTGTTTGCGTTGTGTGAAAATGCAGCACATTTTTTAAAAATGTGCTTGTGTTGCGATAATTTGCAGCATGTGTGCTATCAAACACAACATTTCTGTTGAGTTCCGTTCTTTTTGTGTTTTGTAAAAAAATGCAGCGCATCTTATTCATTTGTTTGTGTTGTGGAAAATGCAGTGTGTTTTTTAAAAATATGTTTGCATTGTGAGGATTTGCAGCACATATGCTGTCAAACTGATGAAGATCTTTTTAAAATTAATTACAAATGTTTTCTTAAATTGCAGCATTTTTAGCTCTCGGTCAAAATGCTAGATTTTTTTTTAATGTCAAATTTGAATGTCATTTACTTCTTTAATTATATCAAAACTTAATTTTTTTATTGAGAATATGCCTTGCTGGGTGAAACATTGGCTCAGTGGTCAGCACTGTCGCCTCACAGCATAAGGGCCGCTGGTTCGAGTCTCGGCTGGGTCAGTTGGCAATTCTGTGTGGAGTTTGCATGTTCTTGCCATGTTCACGTGGGTTTCTTCTGGGTGCTCTGGTTTCCTCCACAGTCCACAGACATGTGGTAAAGGTGAATTAAATAAACTATTTCACACTTGTCTACTACAAATGTGACGTGGGACCACAAAACCAGTAATAAGGGTTACTTTTTTAAAGTAACAACCTGACAACCTGAGATTTAAAAAATGATTAGTTATCCAGTTGGACATTTTAGATTTCCTTTTTTTTTCTCCTACATTTGTAATATATCGAATGTATTTTGCAGGTGTCTGAGTCTCCATTGCTGTCTGTGATGTCACACCTCCTGAGCTTCCTGGAGCAGTATTCGCACCTGCAACAGCTGCAGCAGCAGGCGGATCAGTACCGTCTGCAGCTGCGCAGACACCGAGCACAGCACCGGAGAAAGATGAAGGCCCTGCGTGCCTCCTACCGCCAGCGTCTTCGAGACAAAAACAGTGTGATCAACAGCCTGGAGGAAGTCCTCGCTCAGCAACAGAGCACATCACCCGAATCTGAAGGTGAGACCTTTTGAACATCCATAAATAACTAAATCCCATTGTGAAGATTTAATCTATGTGTATCGATGAGTTTCATTTTAGATGTCGCTTTATGTCCTTTGATAATCATTGGTAACACTTGAAGTGGGTGTTCATTATAGTCACTATAATTGTGGCATGAAAAACAACGTGAATAATGAATAACAAAACCGTTAGTCTTTTTCTTGACCTTAACTTTGGTGGTACAAAATTTATTTGCCATTAAAGGGCACTCATGATGCAAAATTTAATTTTGGAAGCTGCTTGGACTGAACTATGTGTAGGTATAGTGTGTCCACTATCATATTGGAGTGATATAAACACACATGAAGAGTTCAGATGCAAAACCCGCTAAACGCCACTTCTGCCAAAAATAAGCTAATGACACTGAGTGAATGCTTTAGGCACGTACTACACCATCAACAAATAGATTTGCTTCAAATCGCAGCATCAACGCATTCAGAAATAACAGTTTGTTGGCAAAAGCCACTAAATGCCACTTGCCTTTGACAGCAAAAGCCGTTACATCCTTAGAACTAATCAGAAGGCGCAAATCGAATCATATGTTGTCATTAGCTATGTTTCCATCCACCTATTTTATGAGCATTTTGCAGATGCGCATAAAAAAAAAACAGTTGATGGAAACGCCATGATACGCATACATTTTGAAAATGCGCATAAAATCTTATGCGCCTAACTGGGTAGGATAAACTTTTTATTCGATAAGAAAAGATGTGCATAAACTGCAATGGAAACACTTTTACCACACAAACTCCAGTATATTAAAAAAGGTCATGTGATTTTGTTAAAAGAGATCATGTGATGCTTAAAATGTGTATGAATGGACAAAACGTCAGGCTGAGCACATTATAAAACATCTGAAATGTTGTTTTGGTCATTATAAAGCACGTTACCATTTCAGTATTAATGTTGTTATATTATTAATGACCTCCAGAATCAAGAGCGCCTGTGCTCCGCGTCTGACACCTTCAAACGCCACTGCACGCTCACTGCATGTCAGGATTGTCTTCTGAGGCGCATTCATTTAGAAAAGATTGATGCAGCTTCTCCTACTGCAGCAAAGGCAGTTTTTACTGTTGATATTTGGTGCCAGTTAATCAGGAAGTGACGATTTTGGTCGCTTTGACTAGTTGGATGGAAACGATGCTTCATTCGCACAACTTTTATGCGATAATCCAGTTTTGCCCATAAAGTTCATTCGCATTTTTGGATGGAAACATAGCTAATTGGTGCACAACGGAATGAACCACCACTTACTTGACAGAGTTATGTATTTTAAATATCAGGTGGTTTGTGTATGTGTTTTATGTTTGGTAAAATCATTTTTAGTGGCATCTTCATTTTCAACTAATTACACTGTCTTGTCTCAGTAGGTGGATTTAGAGGGTTTTACATAAAAAGCAGACAATGGTTTAGCTGGTTTTGACGCAAAAGAAAATTTCCCTTGCTAAAAAACAAAGAATTGTCTAAAGTGAAATTTTTTTAAAGGTATTTTATTTAATAACTAATAACTTTATCATTACATATAAAATAAAACTTTTGTACCTTATCAGAGGAGCCTGAGAGAAAATGCTCATTTACAAGAAAAGAGGCCTGATAGATTTAAAGGTTTTTGCATCTGAACTCTTCAAGTGTTTTTGAAAAATTGGTAACACTTTAAAATGACAGTATATAAATAATGATGTATTAATGTAAACTAAACATTAGTTTATAATGAATTAATGATGAGTTAAGGTATCCACTAATCATGAATTAACTTTAACTATAACATGATTCACATGAGTTCATGTGTGAATAAAGGCTACCTTAATTATTTGTTAGTACTTGATTGTTTGTTAATTAATGTATTAATTACCACATTAGTTTATGCCTAGTTTAACCATGATGAACTCATGATATGTTAATGTGTAATTATGTTGTGACTTTACTTGGAGGGGCACATCATCAATAACCCATTCTTAACTACTCATGAACTCCTGATGCACGTCCAACTAGTGAGTTTACACTAAATAACAATAGAAAAGTGTTCTGTCAACATAAACATAAACAGGACTTCATGAGTAGTTAAGGATGAATTAATAGTAATGTGCCCCTCCAAGTAAAGTCATGACATAAATATACATTAACAGCTCATGAGTTAATGTTGGTTACATTTAGCTTAAACTTAAATGTTAATTAATACATTTATTAACAACATGTACTAACAAGTAATTAAGGTAGTCGTTATTTACACATGAACTTATGTGACTTATGTTGTAGTTAAAGATAATTCATGATTAGTGAATACCTTAACTCGTCATTAATTCATAATAAAGTAATTTTTAGTTTACATATTAATACATCATTATTTATGTACTGTTATTGTAAAGTGTTACCGAAAAATTCCTGACATTAAATTAGATCCAAATCCCAGTGATTTTGATGCCCACATAATGTAGGGCGGTTTTCCCCAACCAACAAATTGATTAACAGGCACATATTAACATGTCTCTGTAGGAACGTATATACTGTACATGTCCACCGAACAGAATTTTGCAAAGAAACTGGGATTAAAATATCTGTTCCAACTCTCGGTGATCAGCTGCACCTCAAGAATAAGTTTGGAAAGTTTAAAACAAACCGGTTTTGAAGTCCAAACCAGCTCATTTGCACTTAAAGGTACCGGCTACAAAAACAAGCATACTGTCTTTAGACTCCAAAATGGGCATATTCTGCATTGTATAATAAATAATCTGATGAGTATTTTGAGTTGAAACCAAAAGACATATCGTAGAGACTGTTCTTGCATATTAAAGAGGTAAAATAGAAGCATATTGTTTGTTTGTTTAATGTTTTTTGAAAACCAATACAACAATATACAAGCGGTATATGGTCCACAGTGACTTTACTCAACTTACATGTTGTGCATTGTGTATAACCAGCTGGCTCATCAATTAAAGTTGTCACTATTTGAAAAGTTGATCAGAAATGTTAGCCTTTTCTCTAGCGATTTTCACAGTTTTAAGTTTGCCATTGGCAATTTTTCTCTTTATGTTCTTCATTGCACATGGCTGGAAATCTCTTAGCGCAAGGCATCACTGGCACTTCCGGACCACACACATTAGATTGCATTAGATCTCATCTCATAGATCTAACTATTTTTCTAAAAAAGGCCCAAGGCCCGATTTGTGTGCTAGCTATGACGTGAAAATTGCCCCTGAAGCTCGGCCCTAGGGGCATAAAAAGTCATGCTTTGACGGGCTCGGGCTGAAATGCAGGGTTCGAGAACATACTGTAATTTCTTGTTTGAGTAGTTTTGCGTTAGACATGGGTACCACTTTATCTCACGTGGACAGCTTAAAATTTAATGAGAACACTGGGAAATAGTGGCTAAAAATAGCAGACTGATGGTTTTAGAAAGTGTGTCTGTCAGTGACCTCAGAGCTGCAGAGAGCATCTGGACTGTCTGGCGATCTGTTTCTGCTCAGACATTAGCAGGTGTTCCCCTTTCAACTGTTACTCAACTGTCAAGCAGACTCCCTATTAGACAACATGTGGGTTAAAAGTGCACGTCTCCTGGAGTAATTCAATGTTATGTACTTGGCTTTGTAGTGCAGTGGATGCACATGATTCTGCCTTCAGGATTTACTGCGCTATATTAAGCTCAAAGGTGTTTTACAAGAGGTCTGTGATGGCTCCATTACAGTTTATCTAAATGGCAGTTTTGTGTCTAACATCATTCCTCATTGAAGTAATCATTTAAAATCAATCAATCCCATTAACATATGGACTATTCTTGCTGTTTATCTTTTAAAAGCTGTCAAAGCTAAATGATTGTGAATGATTGACTGATTTTAAACATTTACTTCAATGAGGACACAAAACTGCCATTTATATGAACTAGAAGTGATTATACTTCATAGTTTGTATAGTTTTATACTTTCCTTTTGATGTGAAAGGGTATTTTGTATGAATTTGTATAGTCATATTGGTACATTCTCATACAATCTGCTTGTAGCCCATTAAAGATTAGTTTTTCAGGACAGGACTTTCACGCTTGCTTCTATTAGGATCCATTATGTCATCGTTATGACTTAGACTACTATATTAATCAAGGCAAAGGGAAATGAAGGCGCTTTATTGTGTATTGCAGCAATATGTAAGCATTCACGATGTTCTTTGCATACTGATTAGTCAAGTCAAGCCATCCTACAGCAAGTTATGCAGGACTAAAAGAACTGTGAAGTGTGAAGTGTTGCATAATGTTCTCAAGCATTTGGGTTTGAATCAGCCATCTTTCTGCAGTCATTTTCTCTGCAGTAGCATTCACATTGTGTATAATTACGAACCCTTCACTAGCAATTATCCTCAGCTGTAACTTGAAAGGGGGCAAGGGGATACAAGTCTATTTCATGGTTTGAAGATTCCACCTAAAAATAATCAGGCATTGGTAAAGTGTCTAATATTATTTATATAGACTGACTTCAGAAAACCTGACCTGAATGTTTGAAGAAGTTTTCAAAAGCTAGATTGTATAAAGTTTAAAGTTTGGATACAAAGTAGTTTGAAAAGCTTGACATTAAAAATTTACGTTTTAATTAAAGGTTAACAATCGCCTCACAGCAAGAAGGTTGCTGTTTTGAGCCCCAGCTGGGCCAGTTGACGTTTCTGTGTGATGTTTTCATGTTCTCCTCGTGTTTGAGTGGGTTTGCTCCGGGTGCTCCGGCTTTCCCCACAAGTCCAAAGACATGTGTTATGCGTGAATTGGGTAGGCTAAATTGTCCATAGTGTATGAGTGTGATTGGCTAGCCTGTGCATGGATGTTTCTCAGTGATGGGTTGCAGCTGGAAGGGCATCTGCTGTGTAAAACGTATGCTGGATAAGTTAGCAGTTCATTCCGCTGTGGTGACCCCTGATTAATAAAGGGAACAAGCCGAAAATTAAAGAAATTAATTAATAAAAAGTCAGACAAATACATACAA